TGTGGTAGATTGGTATTCTACTCTGTTCCGTTCTGTTCTTGTAAGATTGTTAAGATCCGCGGTGCAGACAGTGGTAGATTTGTAACTTTATTCTGTTCTGTTCTGTCCTGTCCTAATTTCTATCCTCTCCCCTCCCCTCCCCTCCCCTATCCTATCCTATCCTATCCTATCCTATCCTATCCTATCTTACAAGACCTGTTAAGATCAGCAATGCAAGATGTGGTAGATTGGTATTTTACCCTGTTCTGTTCTGTTCTTGTAAGATTTTTTAAGATGCAGGGTATAGGTTGGTAACCAAGTGCAGATTAGAAACAGAGATACTTCCCCATCCCACCAGCCCATGGGATCACTCTACTGAACACCTAATTCCTACACCGCTGTCTTAGACCTAAATATATTTACCCATGTAGTAGGCTACATTGCTATTATCCTTCTCATCTTTCTCATCTTCTGATCTTTCCTACTACTTTCTGCTGAGAAGAATCCAGAATTTATCACTGGTTTTTGTGTCTTATGATTAATGATAGTAATTATTATCTATGACCTATCACTTTGTTGTTTGTATGTACACTGAGAGTTTAGGCACTGGAGATAAATTCCTTGTGTGTCCAATCACACTTGGCCAATAAAGCTATTCTATTCTATTCTATTCTATTCTATTCTATTCTATTCTATTCTATTCTATTCTATTCCAGTCCAGTCCAGTCCAGTCCAGTCCAGTCCAGTCCATTCTTTCCCATTTTATTCTATTCTATTCTATTCTTTCCTATTTTTTCCTATTCTTTTCTTTTCTTTTCTATTCTTTTCTATTCTACTCTACTCTACTCTACTCTACTCCATTCCACTTCCACTCCACTCAAGATTTGTTAAGATCCGTGGTGCAGACTGTAATGGTGGTAGGTTGGTAACCAAATGCAGATGTGAACTATATCAATCTTGGCTGACGCTTTAACCAATACGATAATCACTATTCTATATTAATGCAATGTAATCTCTGCCCAGCCTAGTAGTGCTTCTTTATTTTCTGTTCTTTGCTGTTCCAGGAGATGGATACCTACATTGGCTGTGGAAGCATTTTTCTGGTGCCGCGGAAGATCTGCTTTTGTTTTTAATATTGTGGTCTTCCCAACCTTCCAGTTAACGTGACAGGTGGGTAAACACTGTACTGTTCCCGTGGTTTTGACAGGTCAAACTTTGGAGAAAACAAGGGTTATACAAGACAGAATAAAACTAGAAATGCAAACTTCCTGCTTAATAGCTCAGAATGCTTTCCATTTTGAAAACAGCCAAAGAAAACATAAATTGAAGCTGTTAAGAATATCACACCCAGGGATTCATTCCAGGAAGCTGAAGTGTGCAACTTAGTGGGCGAAAGAGGGTGTAGTGGTTACGATTTCTGAAAACTTTAGTGGGAGGGTGTTAACAGCAACGGGTTTTAATGCGACAGAGCTGCTAGAATTGCATTTTGTAAAGCGTTTTTCCTCTCTGACCTATTTGCGCATCAACACGTTGTTAATCAAAAAGTTATTTTCACCAATAACAGGATATGAGCTTATCCAGGCTGTGGTCTTGGTGTCTTTGTGTGTAAACCACAGTTTTTACAGTGGAATTTTAAAAAAGGAGCCGGAAACCCACCTACGTTTTTCTGATGCGCAACTCATTCATTCCCTAATCATAAACGACAACAAAATCAGTTGCTTTTATCCCATACCTCACTGTAAAAATGTTTATTTGTCTTTGTGGAATTAGGTTTGGGACAGTGACAGTGTGTGGCTTAGCAGATGTGGTCTCGCCGATTACGGCTTATTACCAACCATGGTTAAGTAAATATTTTGACCTAATGTGGAAGGGGAAGTCTAAAGCTGAGTGGATTTATTGTGTTTTATTAAGTGAATGGAAATAACAGATAACGTGAGGCCGTAAAATTTCATGTATTAATGTTTCAGGGTTATACCAATATTGACTCATTATATATTCTTAAGATAACCTAATAAATTGTTCCTGTAAAGTATAAGATTAATGATACGGTACAAATCAGCTATAAGGACAGGACTCGGTTAAATTTAGTGGTATGTTTGAATGGAATAATAATATTTTTCAAGTGACATCCATTCAGGTCATCCTTGACTTACAACCATTCATTTAGTGAACGTTCGAAGTTTCAGTGGCACTGAAAATGTACGTTTTTCACACTTATGACCATGGCAGGATCCCCGTGGTCATGTGATCGAAATTCAGCTGATTGGCAACTGACTCCTAGTTATGACGGTTGCAGCGTCCCGGGGTCACATAGTCCCCTTTTGTGACCTTCTGACAAGCAAAGCTCATGGGGAAAACTAATTCACTTAAACAACCGTGTTACTGACATAACAACTGCAATGATTCACTTAACGATGGTGGGAGGAAAGGTCTTAAAATGGGACAAACTTCACAACTGTCTCGCTTACCGACAGGAATTTTGGCCTCATTTTGGGGTCATAAGTCAAGGACTACCTGTATGAGAATCCAAGCAAAAGGGACCGAATAAACCATGGTTAACCTCAGGGGTGGGCTTCAAAAATTTTAGCGACTGGTTCTCTTCCTGGTTACTGGGTGGGCGTGTCCATTGCTATGATATGTACAGAATAACCCTTGAGTAACAAGGATATGCACATGGAAACGTTTATGAGAATAGTTATGAATAATTATCCAGCCATACACAGATACACTAAATTGAGTTAACGTTTACTATAAGAAATAGCACAGTCCAGTAAATGGTCCAGGTCATATACATTTAACAATCCAAATAATATCCAATTACAAAGTCTTCTTACCAGTTGCCTTTGTCATTTACAGTAAAACAAAGATATCAAAGTATAAGCACAGCATAAATGCAACAGAGAACCTTAGATAGCAACAGAATGTCAGAGAGACAGAATGTCAGAGAGAGCAAGCTAAGATCTCTAGCTCCCTCTTATGGTAATTTGCAACATAATCAACCAATCGGAATATACGTAGTATAAATCAATACAGTGATTTTGTCTTAAAGGTACAAACATACATTGTTGGTTTATATATTGCCAACCCAACTAATTGATGGACAGATTCCTAACAGCCATGGTGGGCATGGCCTAGTCGACCTCCTGCACCACGGTGGGGAGGGGGCATTTTTGCCCTCCCTGAGCTCTGGAGGGTTTCCTTGAGCCTCCGGAAGGGCGAAAATAGCCTCCCAGGGCTCCAGAGGCTCTCTGGAAGCCAGAAAGAGGCCCATTTCTGGCCTTCCTGAACTTCTGGGAGGCCCATTTTTCATCCTCCCTGAACTTCTATGCAGGCCCTGCACTTACCTGCATCCAAAACGGGCCACATGGGGACTCCTGGGAGGGGCGGGGTGGAGTGGGCGGGGCCAGCCAGGAGTGGGATTTGCACAGAATCTTAGCTAGGGGCTCTCCCGAACTCCTACGAACCCCCAGCAGCCCACCCCTGGTTAACCTCATCCTTTTTCTCAGATGCGCAATTTTTAAGAAATATTTCCCCCTTAAGCAAATCCTCTCTCAACTAATTTTATTCGCTCTCCTCTGGCCACAGACTGGCAATTCTCTCTTCGGAAGGAGGAATAAGAAGAAGGTTGAAAAGGAAAAAAAAAATGTGTATTACCATATACTTTATTGGTATGCACTATTCGTTGCCGTTTCCAAGCTACAAGTCCTTTCCAAGATAAGGGTATTTGCTATTGCTTTGGATCATCCTGATTATGGCCAGGTTGGCAATGATTTACAAGGAAAGTACGGCTTTTTAATTTCTGTTGTTGTTCTATTAATGAAAAGGATAAAGTTATAAAACGGAGATTATAACTGTAGAAGAGCAGGGGACTTCCTTGTCATTCTTGTTTGGATCTGAGGCGTCTATATCCTGGTGCGTTCATCATCGTTTGTTGTGACGGTGGAATATCTATTATTCCTTTGCATCCTGTTTGCTCTTTTCCCCCAGCTATTTTCTTTTCTGTTTTGTGCAGACCTGTTTGGAAAGTGGACCAGATTGTTTAGGCTCCTGGACAACAGCTTGTCTCTGCCGTCATGGGATCTGGCTTGATCTGTGCATCTGTGATCCTTCTGTGCTTCTGGTTGCGCGAAGGGAATTCACAGAACCTCATCCGGGGCCAAAAGAGGAAGCCGACCCTCCTGATTAATGAGGTCAATGCAGATAATCCAGGAGATGATACCATGGAGTATTTAGAACTCTATCATGTCAGCGGACGAAGCGTTGCTTTGAAGGGGTATCATTTAGTCCTCTACAACGGGAAGGGAAACATGGCCTACGAAGTCTTGGATCTTGATGGCTTTTCCACAGATGACCAAGGTTTTCTCCTGATTGGGTCTGGCAACCTCGTCCCAAGGCCAGCTATAATCCTCTCGAAGGCCACAATCCAGAATGGACCGGATGCCATTGCTGTCTATTTTGGGAGGTCGGACTTGTACGTAGGCATGCCTGTAGACAACGAAGGCCTGGAGGACGCTTTGGTTCATAAATCTAATAAAAGGGACAAAGCAGATGAGTTAATTCGAGTTCTGACCCCTGGCACAGAAGCTTTCTTGGAGGACCCTTTCTTCCGGACCACCGATGACGAATCTCTAGAGAGGTGCCAAGGGATGGATTCTCAGAGGTTCTTCCAAGTGGGTGCACCAACCCCAGGCTCCGATAATCACTGCATCCCTTTCTCGCAGTTGAATGCCTCTGTGGTGCTCATCAATGAGGTTAAGTTGACATCCTCACCCAGAGATGCTGAGTTTGTGGAGCTCCAAGGTCCCCCTTCCGTAGAGGTGAAGGACCTGGTGATGGTGCTGATAGAAGGAAGAACCCAGAAGATCTACTCTGTCATGGAAGTCAAGGGTGAAACTTCTCCCGATGGGTTACTTCTGTTGGGTTCAGGACTGTCCAAAATCCCAGGTAAGGTTAGATACTTTCTATATATATGTTTTCTTAAATTTTCGCGGGTACTTACGTGTATGGTATTCAGCTTTGTTCGGGTATTTTCCCACGTCATTATAGTTGTGCTTTTAAAGTTGTAGCAACGTTTCGGCAGAATCTCATCTGCCATCATCAGGCTTCTTTATTGTGTTCGTCTGTGAGTCAGGCTTTCACAGCCGCTTCAGTTTTCTATATATCTTGTTTATACAGTTTCTGACACAGGATCCATTGGCCAGCACAATCAGTAGCCATTGGGTAGATCAATGCCAGGGTGCATTGTGTTTGTAAGTCGAGGATACCTATACAGGCCTCCTTTAAAAATGCTACATTAAGGTTCTCTTTCTTTCAGGGGGCGCAGCTCACTTTCAGAATTTCACTTTCCTCCAGAATTCCAGCACCCCGCTTCTCAAAGCAGGCACCAACGCCATTACCCTGTACAGAGGGTCCATCAGCCACTTTGGGGTGGGCTCCAGCGTCACGGCGACACCAGACCTTCTGGATGCCTTGGTGTACACAACAGTGGAACAGCCGGATTTGGAGCTGCTGGACTCCTTGACCCCTGGGAAGCCTCTCTTCTACCTGAGCAGACAGTAAGGAAGCTGGGAGCTGGCCCATTCTGTTTAGAAAAGCATCTACCTTCTTGCCCATTTTGCAGAAGATAAACTATTTAGAATCGCTTCAGTCATTTCTGCATTTCCTAACTGTCAGCATTCCAGATAAACCTCAACTCTGATAAATAACCCCGAGGCAGACAGGTTCTCAAAGTTTCCTTTTATTAGAGTAGTAAACTGGCACATCCGGGAAATCCCGAATCTGAAAGTTCCCAGTTTCCCTCCAATAAGTAGAAAATTACAAATCCACCCCCCCTGCACCCATCATCGCATCACATGCCCCAATCACCATCCGTCCCAACTTGAGACGTCCCCTCACCCAGGTGCAGAAATAACATGGCCTTGACTTAGAAAAAGAATGCTATTAGGTCTAACCACATACACACCACAAAACTCCCCCCTCCCATTTTCCCAGGCTTAAGAATGCGGCAGTATGGAAGCATCTGGTGCTAATATGGCTTCCAAAGTTGACACCCACATTCTCTGCCAGCCTTTCCCTCTGATTAATTATGGACTTTTCTCTTCCCCTCTGATCCTTTCCATCAGTTCCCAGGCGGATGGTGCATCTGTCAGCCGGTGCTTCTGCTGCTCCATCTCCCGCGATGCCTCCTCTTATGCCCTCGCCAAGCCCACGCCTTTGCAGTTCAACGACTGCCCGAAGATGCGCTTTAGCCAGAAGGTTTCCTTTTTTTTTCAAGTGGAAGGTAAGCTCTACCTGGGGGAGGGGGACAGTGGGGGAATGTGTGTGAATTGAAGCATGGGATTGCACCAAATGTACTGTAATAAGTTAGTGAGAAAGACCTCGGGGGAAGAAGCCAAGTGATGCGGCCAAGGGAACAGCCAAATAAGAGGCAGCATAGCCTTCGGGTGGATAATGGGTGGGGCAAGGGGTTCAAAAGGGACCCCCTCCTTATTTTCTCAGGGTGTAAAAGAGACCATGGAAGCTTTAGAATAGAAATCAAAGTGACATTCAGAGTGACAATAAAGTTATTATTCTATTCTATTAATTCTTTGTTCTATTAATTCTTTACTCTTTTCTATTCTTTCTTTATTTTATTCATTCTTTATTCTATTAATTCTCTATTCCTGTTCATTCTTTATTTTATTCATTCCCTATTCTATTCTGTTCGTTCTTTATTCTATTCTTTATTCCATTCCATTCCATTCCATTCCATTCCATTCCATTCCATTCCATTCCATTCCATTCTATTCTATTCTACATTCTATTGTGTTCCATTCCATTCTATATTCTATCCTATCCTATCCTATTTTCTATTCTATTCTATTCTATTTTCTATACTATTCTATTCTATTCTTTTTTCTATTCTATTCTATTCCATTCCATTCCATTCTACTTTCAGACTTGCAAGATTCTGTTAATGCAGATTCTGCTAACTGTAAAGGTCCTGAGCCTTTGCACCTGAGAGGGAGGGTGTAAACACATTACAAACCTTATATCTTCTCTGTCTCTTTCAGTTCATCTTTCTTCTGTGTCTTTTGCACCTTAAGGTTGCCATCAAAAACCTCAGGACGAAGGCACGATACCGAGAGCTTTGGCCCAGTCTCTGGAGAAACGATGCAACTGCAGTTTTTCCCCAGCCTATTTCAAAGGTGAGCGGAGTGGTACATTTCTCTTGGAGTGTTTCAGACCCATGGCTTAAAAAAGAAAGCCACAGTAGAAAGAATCAACAAAGACCATGGTTCCATGTTTGTTTGTTTGTTTTATAAAAACCCTCCCGTAAGATCCTTAACAAGCTCACAAACGAGGCTAAGACATCCCTGGACAAATGAACAAATGTGTGGGAAATGTCCTAACACCACAACTGAAACCAAAGGAAGAAAAACTTGGTGGTGTTCTTTCATGGCTTAATCTGTGGCAGAAAAAAAGATCAGTTGGCTGGTTCAGAGGTGATATTCAGCCAGTTCTAACCAGTTCTGGAGAACCGGTAGCGGAAATTTTTTGTAGTTTGGAGAACCGGCAAATCCCACCTCTGACTGGCCCCGCCAACCCCATCTCTTCTCTGCCTCCCATTGAGTCCCAGCTGATCGGCTGGGTCTCCTTTGGTTGCCGTGCACAGGAGAAGGGAGCTGGAAAGCAGGTTAGTGGGGTGGGAAGGGAATGGGGATTTTGCAGTAGCCTTCCCCTGCCATGCCCACCCAGCCACGCCCACCAAGCCATACCCAACCAATAGTAAAAAAGAAATTGAATCCCACCACTTGGCTGGTTCCTTGAATTGTATAAATGAATAGAATAGTTCAGCTGATGAAACAGCCATTTGCGTTTATTAACTGTATTACGGTTTGATTTACTCCCCGATCTTCTAGCGTGTGTTGAGGATAGGTAGCGAACTGTAAAAAAAAAAAGAGAGAGAGAGAGAGACCTGAATTGAAATTGAAAAGAGATTCAGATCGATGCTAATAGTGAAAAATAGGTAATGAAAAAATTTGGGAAAGAAATTTAAGACCAACAGTGAGATTTTTTTTTTCCTTTCGCTCCTCTTGTGACAGATCCTGTATTAACCTGTGAAGGCAGAGAGCTGGTTTTCACTGCCCTCTTGAGTGCCCGGTCAACAGAACAGCTGGACCGTGAGTTGCAGGCCCTCTCAATCTTGGAGCAGAGTAAAGAATGGTTGCATTTTGGAAACCAGAACCACAGCATAGTCGTGAAGACTTTTTCTAGCAGTGCAGATGGGACAGACACACCTCCAGGTATAGTGGTGCGATGGACGGGAGAACACACCGCTCCCAGAGCACAAAAGGATTCGCCATTCACCATTTTGTGGAACGCAAGAATTGCTTGGCCTTAAGATAAGTTACTTAGGGACGCGGTGGCTCAGGGGCTAAGACGCTGAGCTAGTCAATCAGAAAGGTCGGCAGTTTGGCTGTTTGAATCCCTAGAGCCACGTAACGGAGTGAGCTCCCGTTCCTTGTCTCACCTTCTGCCAACCTGCCAGTTTGAAAGCATGTAAAAATGCAAGTAGAAAAATAGGGACCCCTTTGGTGGGAAGGGAACAGCATTCTGTGTGCCTTCGAGGGCGTTTAGTCCTGCCGGCCACATGACCACGGAGACGTCTTCAGACAGCACTGGCTCTTCTTTGGCTTTTTGATGGAGATGAGCACTGTTCCCTAGAGCCAGAAATGACTAACACGCATGTGCAAGGGGAACCTTTGCTTTTAAGATAAGTGTTTTTCAACCTTGGGCAGCTTGAATATGGGTGGACTTCAACTCCCAGAATTCCCCTGCCAGCACGGCGATCACATGACCAAGGGACACTGCAACTGTCGTAAATATGTACTGGTTTGCCAAGTGTTCAAATTTGGATCATGTGACCGCAGGGATGCTGCAACAGTCATAAGTGTGAGGATTGGTTGTAATTCACATTTTTTTCAGTGCCGTCATAATTTTGAAAGTTTGCTGGATGAATGGTCATAAGTTGACTGTAAACCCCCTTTTCTCCTTAGTGATCAGGAAAGAAAAACATCAGCTGCTTACCCTACAATGAAACGTTTGTGTGTTCAGTCTAAAGCAGAGGTCTCCAAAGTTGGCAACTTTTTAAAGACTTGTGGACTTCAACTCTCAGAATTCTGGGAGTTGAAGCCCACAAGTCTTAAAGTTGCCAAGTTTGAGGACCCCTGGTATAGATCTTTAGCAACCATACAGGTGTATTTGCTCCGGGACAATCAGTCCCCAGCTTGGTCCTATCAACTTGCCAACTGGATGCTTTCAAGAAGTTGGGTTAGGATTGTGGAGAGTCTGATTCAAACCTTTTCCCAACTCTGAAGCTCACCAAAGTGTCTTCAGATGTTTTCTGTCTCTCTTTGACTCTACTAGCTCGTGAAGTTTGATTAAAAATAAGATGAGGGTTGTCAAAACTATTATCACTTCTTTCATGCCTTTAAATTCTGGGAGTTGAAGTCCACACGTCTTAAAAGTTGCCAAGTTTGGAGAACCCTGGTTTAAAGTGACAAGATTTGGTTCATTGTAGATGCCACTTCAGAAGAACCACGGACAACTGGAGAACCTCCAACTTCACCCCTGTGGTTGCTTATCAACGAAGTGAATGCGGACAATCCTGGCTCTCGAGAAGACACGGAATACATTGAACTCTTCTACCCAGGACAAGCGCCGTTTTCACTCGAGAATTACTGGCTCGTCCTGTACAACGGCAGGAACAACTTGGCTTACAAAGTCTTGAACCTGACAGGCTACTCAACCAATGAGCGGGGCTACTTCCTTGTAGGGAGTGGTGGAGTCACCCCCAAGCCCTCGCTTCTTTTGCCAGAGTCCACCATCCAAAACGGTGTAGACGCCGTGGCGCTCTACCGCAACGCCAATCCTGTCTATACAAACAACATGCAGGTGACCGTTGATGGGCTGGTTGATGCTGTGGTGTACAGAGCGCGAGGGGCAGAAAAAGCTGACAAACTTGTGGCTCTACTCACTCCTGGGCAGAACATCCTCCATGAAAATGATTCTCATAGCACTGAAGATGAATCCATCAGCCGATGCCTCAGCCTGAAGCCCAGAGATCCTAAGAGTTTCCAGGTAAAATGGCTATTGAGTAAGAGGAGCCACAGAGGTCAGCCAAGTGTCCGTGTCTGCTTTTTTGTTTTACTCCGATTTAATTTAGCATAGTTGGTTGAGTCAACCATCATTGACTAGGCTAATCTACCTATATATAAAAGCGAAATGCCACTCACACATCGTCACAAAATCCCAAATCCATAAAGCCTACAAACTTGAAATTTGGCACGTATGTTCCTCTTCTAGGTGCTCACTAAGAAAGGATTTTTCAAAATGACTATCAGAGCATTAATATTTCGTGTATTATTATTGTTAACACACTCCAATGCTAAGGAATTCTACTCCCCCTCCCCACCTGAAAAGAAATCTCTTCCAAATGGCAAAACACAAGCAGAGGAGAGGAGTTTCACTTTCACTTTCACTTTTACAGCACCAAGCAGCTTGAGTACAGAACAGTTGAGCTATGCCACGCCCAGGCTCTTCCTTGCTCCTCCTTGCTCACAAAGCAAATACTGTTTCGGTTTCCAGGCAGCCCTCAACTCTCTCACACACTGACAGGATGCTAGCCAGATGAATATCGATGGATGCTGGTAGGCAGAGACAGATTTTTTTCCTCCTTATTTTCCTTCCCCAAAACTAAGCCCGACCACATGGTTTTGTAGTGAAGCACAGGTATCGAGCTAGTGATATATGTTATGATGAATGTTATGAGGAGCAGTGGTTAGAGTGCAGTACTGCAGGCTACTCCTGCTAACTGTAATTTGGCAGATCAAATCTCACCAGGCTCAACTTTGACTCAGCCTTCCCTCCTTCCAAGGTGGGTAAAATGAGGACCCAAATTGTTGGGGGCAAGAGGCTGACTCTGTAAATCACTTAGTCAGGTCTTTAAAGCACTATGAAGCGGTATATAAGTCTAAGTGCTATTGCTAGTAGGAGCCCTTGCGGCACAGTGGTTAGAATGCAGTGTTGCAGGCTAACTCTGCCCACTGCCAGCAGTTTGATCCCAACCGTCTCCAAGTTGACTCAGCCTTCCCTCCTTCTGGGGTCGGTAAAATGAGGACCCAGATTGTTGGGGGCAAATAGGATGACTCTATAAACCGCTTAGAGAGGGCTGTAAAGCACCGTGAAGCAGCGTATAAGTCCAAGAGTGCTATTGCTATGATGTAAACTGGGGATCTCCAAACTTGGCCATTTTAAGAGTTGTTGACTTCATGCCTGGCTGGGGAATTCTGGGAGTTGGTCCACAAGTCTTAAAGTGGCCAAGGTTAGAGATCCCTGCTTCCAACCATACTGAGCAGCTCATGGAGGAGTTAGCTGTAGCCACATGATATCTGACAACCCTCCCAAATCCAGCTCTGCTAAATCACCTTTCTAGCAGAATCAAGTCATCTCTCATTAACTTCAACCACAGTTGATGGAGGTAGGAGGTTGACAGAGTTTATTGGGTGTAAAAGTCCTCCTCACAGGGTTTTCCAGAAGGAAACAGGATGTGGGCTGAAATAGACTTTGAGTTTTATTCCACTGGGGTTTTGATTGTGTCAACATTCAGAAATAATGTGTCACCAAACCTGATAATTAGGTTAAATTTTACACTTGAGTGAATTTCTCAGAAACATCTGGCTGACCGCTGATCGAAGGAAGATCCTGGAGAAGGTGGGCATGTTGGTCTCATCTATTCATATTTATTTATTTATATCTCGCTTTTATTATTATTATTATTATATTTTACAAACAATCCAAGATGGTGAACGTATCCAACACATTTTTCCCACAACAACTCTGAGAGGAAGGTTGGGCTAAGAGAGAGGGACCGGTCTAAAGTCACCCAACTGGTTTTCATGGCTAAAGCAGAATTAGAACTCATAGTCTCCTGGTGATTGATCCAAAGTCACTCACTTGGCTTTCATGCCTAAGGCAGGACTAGAACTCACCATCTCCCAGTGATTGGCCCAAAGTCTGTCAACTGGCTTTTATGACTGAAGTGGGATTTGAACTCACAGTCTCCTGTTTTCCAGCCTGGTGCTTTAACCACTACGCAGCACCCTAACCAATATTATTCATGCATCTCCCATTCTTATGATATTCAGGAAGCCGGTTTGTTCTTCCAGGCTTGGAATAGCATGGTTTTGTTAGAGTTAGTGCTTGGCTTACAATCGGGTGTTTTGTTCTTCTGCTCAGTCACAATTTATTTTTCTATATTATTGTTTCTCTTTTTATCTCTAAGCTCTCCCGAGTTCCCAAAGAGTTGGCTGGCCTTGAAATGAGAATAATTACATTAAATAAATTCCTGCCCTCGTATGTTTTTCTCCAGGGTTAAGTTCTGAAAATAACTCTACCGAGGGGCTCGTTGGAAGAAAGCGGTTAGAAATTTTAAAAAATGAACTTAAAAAGAAACGAACATTGCAAATTCACATGCTTTCTCCTACCCACCTTCCAGGTGACTGAAATAACGCCACTTCGGGAAAACTCTTGTATGTCCTTCAACTTGAATCTCACCAAAGAGGTGATCCATAATTCTTCGGCCATCATCAATGAAGTGGGCCTGGCCAACGACTCATTTCTATACAAGTTCATTGAATTGAAAGGGAAGCCCGGAGACAGCTTGAAAAAATACACATTGCACTTCTTCTCTGGAAACCGTAACCGGCCTTACAACAGCATCCACCTGCAAGGGAAATTTGGAAGCGAGGGTCTTTTTGTCCTCAGGCCAGGACGGGCGTCCCAAAGTGATAAGCCTAATGGTATGTTGCTGGTCCTTAATAAACTCTTCCCAGAAGCCCCAAAGGTGCTTTTTTCAAGAGGCAACTGGACTTTCTGGTTTTTATTTGAAGACGTTCTGCTTTTCATCCAAGGAGCTTCTTCAGCTCTGACTAGATGGTGGAGAATGGAAGGTTTGATACTCCTTGCAGGCAGCTGGTCATTTACATTCTTTTCAAAAGTAGTTGAGGCCACTTGGCGGTTTATCTGTATCCTCGGGTATTTTCCCATGTCATTATAGTTGTGCTTTTAAAGTTGTAGCAATGTTTCGGCAGAATCTCACCTGCCATCATCAGGCTTCTGTATTGTGTTCATCTGTGAGTCAGACTTTTACAGTTGTTTCAGTTTTAAATTTGGGGCTAGCCTACTGCTGTGCCAGAATGGTTTTTTCTTCATCCTGATTGGTTGGGAGTCTTGGTCTGTGTTTATAGGTCTTGGAGTTTGCTGTGTTCTGCTTGTTTGGTGTTTCTAATATCTTCGGTCTGTTTTGTGGCTTTTTCTGTGTCTTGATAAGACACCAAATCAAGGAAATAAGACCCCAAATCAAGACACACAAAAAAGCCACAAAACAGACAGAAGATGGTTTTTTTTTAATGCTGGTCCTTCATTAATTTTATCCCGTTTCTTTCCAGAGCAGTTGGTGATGCCCACTCTCTGGAATCACCCATTCCCGAAGCAGGAGATACTAACTGTAGCCCTATTCAGCCGTAAAGTACGACTTCCATATGGCACTCTAAATATTGCCGAGAAACTAGAATACAGTTTGGTGTTGAGCCCTGGGACGATCTCTCAGATACTCTCTGTACCTGGGAAAAGAGAAAGGTGAGCATCCCTACAGTGTCTTGTTATTTCTACTCCTATTCTGCATTTCTTTTTGTAAAAACTAAGCGGGGGGGCGGGTCCCTTCTAAGACTTTGCCATGCCCACATTTCTTCTGCAGGCTTGGTTGCCCCTTATGCAGCTATTGTCTGCAGCTCTTCCTTCTTCTCCCAAGGTCATTCTCACACACCATTAAAGGTGAAGGGTAAGATAAAGGTTTCCCCCATCCAGTTGTGTCCAACTCTAGGGGTGCTACTCATCTCTGTGTCCTAGCCAAGGGAAACAGCGCTGTCTGAAAACATTTCCGTGGTCAAGTGGCCAGCGCCACTATATGTCAAGATGCACGGAACACTGTTATTGTCCCACTGAAGTGGTACCTATTTATCTACTCGCATTTGTCTGCTTTCGAACTGCTAGGTGGGCAGGAGCTGGGCCAAAACAGGGGGGTCACTCCATCATGTGGTGTGTCAGTCTCAAACTGTCAACCTTCTGGTTTACAAGCCCAATGTCTGTTCTGACCAAGGCTTCCTGAGACAGTAACAATCACACGCTGTTCCCCAAAATCTTTTGTTTTATTTCAATGGCTGTGAGTTATATCCATTCACAGTCCGTAATGAGTCCCAAACAGTTTATGAATAGTCCAACAGAAGTCTGCCACAGTCTTTCGGGATAAGGCTGATAAGCACCCATCTTTATCTCCCTTGAAATGCTGCCAATGACTAAATTTCCAATTAGCCGTCCAAGGCCATTTGGAGCACAAAGTCCACATGGAGCTTCAGAGTTTAAACCAACCAGAATAAACAAAGTTGCTTCCTGCAAAGGCTCGTGTCCCTTTACTCCTCCTTTATGTCTTATGGGAGGGGCCAATCACCTCCAAGCCTTACTCCCGACTCGCACCTTTTGTCTTAACTGTTCTTGCCTTCTGGCAGCTCTGCGCAAGCGCACACTGGGAACAGGCTCCCCCTGTTCCTCTGCCTCACTGATGTCAGATTCTGGAGGCTCCGGAGTCAGCACATAATTCTCAGATGGCCCTGGCCCCATCTCTGTGTCATCCAAGCCCTCCCCATATTCCAGGCCTGGCCCATGTTCCTCCCCACTGTCCAACTCCGCTGCCAGTTTTGCAGGCCGCCGGTGGACCAGAACAGTTTCTTAACTGCATCTATTGAACCATCCTCGAATATTTTCCGTGCTACAAATGTTTTGTGTTTGCTTTTTGCAGAATCTGGTCATCGAGTTACTGCCCTTTTTGCAAAGAAACCTTCCTCATCTCCAAACCCACCCCAGGCATGGAGAATAGTTGTCCTCAAGAATCTCTGGATCTTAGAATGTGCCTATGGACCCCTAGTAAGTTGTCTTTTTTGTCTCGTGTGCAACTAGACAGAATGAGGTCATCCCTTGTGTGATGGAATGTGGCGGGGAGGCAGATCTTGAGCAGGGAGGGCTGCAGTAAGAGGCAATGCAGTCCAGATATCCTGTGTGAGAGAAAGAGGGCGAAGACAGCCTCTCCTCAATACTTCCCGTATTATACTGTAGATGCAGACAGGAAAGTCTTCAGTCTGGCAAGATTTTGTCTATATGTGTGAAACAATAAAGAACTCGGCCTGGAAGAATCACCACATGTTAGTCCTGGTTTGGGGCCTGACACATGGTGACTGAGGGATTCTGGGAGTTGAAGTCCACACATGAGGTGATGGAATATAGGGAAGATTTCCAGGAGGGAGAGAGTACATTCCAGAGGAATAAGAAGCATCCCAGATATCATGTGTGCAGAGGTGGGATTCAATTTTTTTTAACAACCAGTTCTGTGGGCGTAGTTTAGGTGGTGGGCATGGCTTGGTGGTCATGTGACTGGCTGGGCGTGGCCAGCTGAACATCACTCACATTGAGGCACGCATCTCCTCGCCTGGCCTCTTATGACTGTGGGGATGCTGCAACAGTCGTAAGTGTCATAAGTCACTTTTTTCAGTGCCATTGTAACTTTGAATGGTCCCTCCACACAAGCAAAGTACCAGCACAGGAGAGAAATAAACTCCAGAGAAGTTTCTGAGATAGGAAGTCTAGTCCTGACAAGAATGTAATAAGGGATAATGGAGAGGCAGTTTCTGTAAGCAACACCAGAATGTTTCCTTCCTGCCTTCCTTACAGGATTAGGCCAGTAATTTCTTCTAACAACCGGTTCTCCAAAATGCTTGGAATGTTAACAACCGGTTCTAGCGAATAGGTGCAAACCGGTAGAATCCTACTCCTGCATGTGTGGGAGAAAGAGAGTGAAGACAGCCTCTCCCTAATAGTTTCCAGAGTACATTGTCAATGCAGATAGTAGAATTCACAGTGTGACAAGTTTTTTGTCAATGGGCATGAAACAATACCCATCTTGAAAGAATTGCCACATGTTATTCTTAGTTTTGGGCCTGACACCTTAGTTCTTTTCCCAGAAAGAGGCATGATGCTACTATACCTGCTGTAGACACAACCACAAAAGAGTTTTGGTATCATGGGGTCATGTCAAAAGCCCATGCTAGTTTTTTTGTGAAGTGGATTGTTTTTTCTGTTTGCCTTTGCACCTGTTTTTGACTTCTAGCGACTGCATGGACTAGTCCTTGCATTATTCTTGGCAATGTTTTGCAGAACTGATTTGCCCTTGCCTTCTACTTGGGGTTGAGGAACAATGACTGGCTTCATGGCTAAGGTGGGACTAGAACTCATGATCTCCCATTCTCTAGCCTGGTGCTTTCACCACTACTCCAAGGAGTTTTTCAAACTACGTTTTTAATGTATGATTTTTATATTGTTCTTTGCTTTTATATATAAATGTATGTTGCCCAGAATTAGGTGCTTAAGATGGCTATTCTTCTCTTGGTAGACTGTTCCTTCTGGCTTCAAAATCCACAGCTACAAGCTCACTTCCAGCAGACACTAGTGAGATCCATGGAAGACAGCTGTTTATGTGCTATATCTCTCTGTGCTTTGCAAGGTTTGTGTCCAACATATTTTTTTTAACATAGCATCATATTGATTGATATTGCTTCCTGATTGATATTTCTGGGGACAATACATTCATGTCATGGCCAGTGGAAATAATGTTATTGCTTTCTAGCTGCACCCCTTTTCAAGCTAATATGGGGAATCTGTGGTGGCTCAAATTTGAATGTATATCTGAGCCCATTGTTCCCTGCAAGAAAAGCCAAATGATCAAGATGGTGGTAGCTACTATCAATCTAACGTAGTTTGGAGGGACATAGATATTCCTCCCTTGGTTTTAAGCAGGGATGTAGAAATTGGTCTCCTTAAACAGCCTAAAATGCCACGCCCAGAGCTCCTATAAAAATTGCCCATTATCACATTTTGCAATTGTTAATGAGAAAGGAGAAATTATTCTCTGTATGGAGAATAACCGTATTGCCGGTGTTTTTCACTCAATTTTAAATTGTCTAGCAATTTAGCAATAAAGGTAAAATTTTCCCCTCTCTAGTCATGTCCAATTCTAGGACACAGTGGTCATCTCCGTTTCCTAGCTAAGGGAGCCAGTATTGTTTGAAGATGCTTTGGTGGCCATGTGGCCAGCATGGATACACTCCAAAGGTGCATGAAAGCTGTTACCTTCCCACGAAGTGGTACCTATTTATCTACTTGCATTTGCATGCTTTAGATTTGTTAGGTGGGTAGGAGCTGGAGCAAATAATAGGAACTCACCCCATCATGCAGTGCTTGGGTCTTGAACGCAGGCTGTTAATTTTCCAGCTGACAAGCTCACTATCTTTAACCACTGAGCCATCCCACAATAGATCACTTTAATTGGACCTTCATGTATGGACCTGATCTTCCAAGCCTAACTAGCCATCCATCTTTCTTGTCTTTCCGAAGAACTGAATTTCACTTGCTCTGATACCCTATTGAAGCTGTCTGGTCGGATGCTGACCACATCACCGGAAGAGCAGCAGCTCCTTATCCAATGGCAACAGAATTTCTCCTTAAGTTCCCACCCATTTTCTGTGGATGGGATATTCCTCAGAACTAATGCACCCTGCGCACCTTCCAGTGAAGTGGTACCAATAACTAAAGGTAATCCGGTCAGGTAGTGACCATGTCAACTCATAAAATATTCCTATGCGTGTTTTAGTAGTTGCCATTAAAAAATGGGGGAAAACTGGAAGAGCAGTTGAAAGTGAAAGTACATTCCAACTCTTATCTTTAACAGATTGTGACTAAAATACCAGAGCTTTTGTCCACGAATATATTTAATTGGAGAGTGTGAATACCCAGCCTGTGAATGTGCTCAGTTGGAGAATCTGATTTATGACACACCCAGCGGGGAGGGGGAAACAGGGTCACAGGTGACTGTAAATTACATATGCCAGAGTTGGCTTCCTACAGGGCAGGGCCAGTAGGTCACCTCTAATGAATCCTTTGAGGTTTATTGAAGGTTGGCTCCAGAATCATGATTTAATTAGAGCGATTGCTGGAATCCTGACAGATCAAAGATTTGGTGGCTGCAATCCTAATTAATCATTTATATTTATGGATTTTGTTTCAGTGTAAATTTTATAGAGAAAACCCTTAAGGATCCAATTATGAATGAAGGGACCTTTTTGTTTTGCGATGTTCTGAATTGAAAATAAACTGTCATGCGATCTAGATAAATTTGATTTAGAAACCTCATGACTGTTAAAATACAGGGCATTTTATTCTGTACCAAACTACTCATTCAGAAATGAGTTGGGCCCACCTAGCAATGTTCTGAAAAGCTCAGCATGTATATCCTAAAGCGTTGTGATTTAATTGTTTCTGGACCTTCAGCGTTTATGACAGATAATTGTCAGTTTTACTTTTGGGGATTCAAAGCTCCCAATAGTGTTTTCTTGTTTTGGGTGCACAGTTTGCCACTGATTCCATAAACCATTAAAAGAAACTATGGATTATATTAACAATACCGTTTTTCCTCTTTTTCCACAGCTTCATTTCAAGCTTGGAAAATTGCTTTTTTGATCTTGGGTTCCATTTCGTTCATACTACTATTAATCGGTGGAGCTGTCTATTGTATAAAAAGGTAAAAAAAAATAAAAGAGCTGGTTTTGGGATTTGTGCGAAAGTCAAATCTAGGAACCAAAATATGAACCTAACAACATATATTCCAATATGAACCTGACTCCATCTTCCTATATGGGTGTCTTTGCCCAATATCGTACCCACTTAATGTGCTGGGCAATAGAGGTATTCTTCAACTTGCAGCCATTCCCTTAATGTGTGTTCGAAGTTATAATGGCTAATAATATGGTATCTAAATACTGAAAGTATTTGTTTACTCATTTTGCCACATTTCCGATATTCTTCACCAGAGCTCAAGTTCCAGCTTCCTTGATGCTTTTGCAGTACAAACATGAAAATATGTTTTAGCAGTTCTTTCTCTTTCCAAAAGCGTGACCTCAATCAGGTTTGATGGGGAAATGCTTGTGTATACATACCTAAGAAGAAATATGTGCAGATATAATTATCACTACACAACATGCTATTGTATAAAGAGTATATAGCAATAGCATTTAGACTTATATTCACAGTGCTTTCCAGTCCTCTCTAAGCGGTTTACAGAGTCAACATATTGCCCTCAATAATTCATTTTACCCACCTTGGAACGATGGAAGGCTGAGTCAATATCTTTCTAGCATGTTGTTATATACTTTATACTGAAGATTAAAAGCTGTACAAAAGTAATCTATAGCAGCTAGAACATAGCATTGTTTATTTGAGTATGAGTTGTTGAACAACCTAGCCTGGCTCACATATAAAGATGAGCCATTAATCACATATGTTTGTATGTGTGTTTTTGCATTCTTAAAAGGCGGATTTCAGATTTCAACCCCTGCTTGCTTGCTTGCTTTCTCTGAACTAAAGTGTGCTTCAACTTTCTTAACTGGATTACTGAGGACTGAGGACAGTTGGTGACTTCATGCATTAAAAAACAGAACGGAGAGATCCGTTCCAATTACACCCCTGGAGTCTATACAGGTTGTCCTTGACTTACAGCCACAACGGTGTCCAGAATTTCCATGGCTAAGCAAGGCAATTATTCAGCGAGTTTGGCCGTTTTAAGACCTTTTTCGCCACAGCTGTTCAGCGAATCACTGTGGTTGTTAAGTGAACCGTATGGTCGTTAAACAGATCTGGCTTCCCCCATTGACTTTGCTTGTCGGAAGTCAGCTGGGAAGGATACAAATAGTGATCACTTGACCCCGGGACAGTCCAACCATTATAAATACACGCCAGTTGCCAAGCACCCGAATTCTGACCCTATGAACATGCAGGGATGCTGCAATGTTCATGTGTGTGAAAACTGATCATCAGTCAATGTTTTCAATGCCATTGGAACTTGGTGTGATGACTCGGGGCGTGGCACAAAAGCAACAAAGGCACAAAAATAGGTAAAGTCCCTTTAATTCCTCCAACTTGGCCCCCAATGTCCAGTTATCCTTGGCTGGAGAAAAAAACTCTCCCAAGAACAGTTTTTAAAGGGAAGAAATTCCATCCAAACCCAAAGTACATATAACTTATAAATAAAAACCAACATAAACCACGCTGCAGCAATTAACGAGGACAGGGCAGGATAAGGAATTGAAGACTTCAAAAGATAATGAGAAACACACAGTTGGGAGGATGCCAGAACTCAGATAAGACTTGACAAACTAAAATAATTCACACTTTGCTTCCAGCAAGGAGCTGTGCGCAAACACCCTCTTTATCCTGTTTTCCCAGCTGCAGCTAATGAAGGAAATCAGGGCCTTTTTCTCCCCCATAACCCATGTTGCTCCCTTATCCGTTCCTCCCTGCATGCTTTTGGATGAAGAGGGGTGGGCCTGGGTCTTCCTCTGAATGCCCAGCCGGACTGTGCCCTTCCCCAGTTTCCTTCACAGCCATTGGAGCCACACTCCCACTCCGTCAGCTGTTCCACCTCTCCCTCAGAATCAAATTCCAACAGGGCATGACACTTTGGACAGTCACTAAACAAATGGTTGTAAGTTCAAGACAGTTAAAACAATTAATCAGTGGAACAACTTGCCTCCAGAAGTTGTAAATGCTCCAACATTTGAAGTTTTTTTAAAAAAAGATTGGATAACCATTTTGTCTGAATTGGTATAGGGTTTCCTGCCTAAGCAGGGGGTTGGACTAGAGGACCTCCAAGGTCCCTGTAATTCTCTGATTCTATCTCTGTGCTTTCTGTTATGATAAGCAGAGCAGAAACAGCCTGCCCATGTCATTAAGCAAATGAAGTCACACTATTTTCCTAACCTATTTCCTTCTGGGTTTTTCAGACCACAGAATTACAACAACATTGAACTGAGCGATCGCTGTGAGATTATTTCAGCCATTTGACTACCAGGAAGCGCCTCCGTAAAGAAAAAGCTATTTGGGATCTAAGGAAGAGGTAAATCTCAGAAGAACGTTCCAGCCAACTGACCACAGTGTAAAACGGATCAAATTCCTGGAGTATCTATGTTGAGGATGTTGTTTTTCTGCTCTCCCGTGGAGTGTGAGAAAACCTACCTCTTCGTTTCTACAAGCACCTCTCACTGCCAGGTTGAGTGAAAAATTGGTGGGGGTGCCATGATATTTTCCACACCCACCATAAAAAAATAAATGTGTAGCCAAAGTGATTATTTCCTCCCCCTAATTTGTCAGTGGGGGTAAAGTGCTTTGCTCATCACAATCAGAGAAAAAGAAAGGGAGAGAGAGAGAGAGAAAGAAAGAAAGAAAGAAGAAAAACGAGAGAGAAAGGAAATAATGAGAAAGAAAGAGAGAAAAAACAGAGAAGAAAAACGTTTTTTTTTAAGAGGCAGAAAGCCTTTGATTCAATTCTAATAAATCCAGTATTATTTTTTCAGAGAGGAAAGGAGTGGCGAAGGCGGAAGTCTACTCAAGTTACCTCACCTTCATGGATTGTTAATTGGATCTAAAATGGCTTTGCTCTCCTAAGGAATGGACTGTCTTTGTCGAGAGGTGTGTTGCCACTGACAATGAATGCCTCATATGTGTTTGTGAAAGCGGGGAAGGTGCCTGCTTTCCAAGCAGAGAAAGTCTCAAGTTCATTTCCTAGTTCGGGAAACAGGAAAGATCAGTTCAGGCAAACCTTTTCACAACACTGTTGGTTCAGTTGACATTTTCAGCTGTGGGTAACTGGACTGCAGGCAGGTTCCTATCCTCGCCTCCCATTTTCTAAGAAACAGGACATAAGCAAAATGAAAAGAAATAAAAATAAAAAGAGGTCACCTTTGTCCAAAGATTCCACTCTCCCCAGATGGAAACTCAGGAATTTGTATAGTAAGCTGTTGTTTGTAGTCTTCACCTTGCTTGCATAGCTATTAGCTCTGCAGATGTGAATTTCTTGTTCGCATCAAGAAGAGCACAGCAAAAATTAAAATCCAAAGCAATGGCAAAAAGTGAAGATGGTATAAACTGTGAAGGCAATCTTCTGTGGGACAAAGCCCAACTTCAGTTATCTGAAATGTGCTGTCCCAGAACCAGCTTTTTACGCCTCTAAAGAAGTGAATAGGGGGTACTTAGTGCTCCGTGAACTTGACTGTATTCTTGCAGCTGTTTCATTACCCAGCTAGATAACATCATCAGTGCTAGAAGGCCTTGTAGCATTGATAATGTTACTTAGATCAGTAATGAAACTTAATCAAACGGGTAGGTGTGACATTTGCTTTCAGGCACACTTGATTTAACAGGGTTTGTAGAAGTTTTTTGGGGGGGGTGGGGGGGGGTTCAACTTTTAATCAGCTACTGCCCTCTGCTGATCTCCTAACACTGCAGCAATTGCTAATTTAATTTCCCATCCAGATACAATATCTTTTGCTCCGGTAGAACAGGGGTCTCCAAACTGGGAAACTTTTAAGACTTGTGGATTTCAACTCCCAGAGTTCCTCAGGCAGGATGGAGGTGCGGGTTGGTTGTTGCCAGGTTGCAAGGTTTGGAGACCTCTGCTGCAGAAATAAGGAAGATGACGGTGACAGCAGAGGGGGATTGGCTCAGTGACTTAATGACACTAGAAATGGTCTCAGCTCGCCGATTGGAGCCCTACCACCGTCCTACATTTTTTTCCATTTTTTAAAAACTCATACATGCTCTTGGTTTTTCCAGTTCTGGCATTCGGGCCATTGTGAAATAAATGGTTCATTGCTTATTCATTCTTCTTTGTCCTCTGATCACTGAGATCTTATGATGTTTGTTTTTGCTGTCCTTGGGCTGGAAATGTATTTATGTTGCTTATGATTGATTGTGTTTTATTTGTTGTGAGCCACGGGGAGTCAGAAGGACTGGGTGGCATATGAATGGACTGAAAAATAAATAAAAAGTTGGGAGTCCAAACGCAGTTTGATGGTTGATTTTTCAGGCATGAGACCTATCAAGAAATCTGAAGTTTTTCCTCCTGACAATACTTTAGAGCTTCCCCACCCCCCACTCTTTTTCAACTTTCTTTGGAAATGGATGGCTTGATCTTTAGTTCTCCTTATCACAATCAAAGCAGGGGTCCTATATAAATGAGGGAATACCTTCATTTTGCTATCCTAGTTATGCTAAGCAACTGAGACCTTCACCACTTGGGAGCTGCCAACTAGAAGCATGTACTGTATGTGTGGCTGTGATGACCCAGAGTGTAACACAAACGTAACAAAATCCAAAATGTAAATAAATGTCCTTCAATGCCTCCAACTTGGCCCCACTGTTCAATAATACTCAGTTGGAGATAAAACATACTCAAAAATAGTCTTCAAAAGAAAGCAATACAGTCCAAATTTAATGAGCAGATAGAGGTGAAATAAAAAAACAAACTACAGTGACAAAATTTCCACAACGAACAGAAGATTTATCAAATTCAAGGCGATAACAAGGCACAGTCTGTTGGAAGGACGTCAACCAAGATAAACTCAAACCAAAATAAAACACACTTTGTTTCCAGAATTTGCCAGTATGCAGGTCCAAACTCTTATGCAGTTCTCACACTTGCAGCCCATGAATTAAGGCCCTCTCCTCCCAAGTAGACCACCTCTCTCCCTTATCTTCTCCTCCCTGCATGCCTTAGGATGGATAGGGGATAGGCCTGGGTCCTCTGACTGCTCAGCCGGCCTCTGCCCTTCCCCAGCCTCCTCCACAACCTCCAGAGCCACACTTCCACTCCCTGTTGGCTGTTCCTCCTCTCCCTCAAGAGTGTCCACCAGGGGCATGATAGTGGCTGATTCTTTTAAGGAAGAGATAAGTTCATCCTGCACTGCAGGTAGACCTCGACTTACAACCATTTGTTTGAATGGCGATTCAAGATTACTGTGGCACCTAAAAAAGGATTTATAACCAGTAAACAAAGGGATGGGGTTCACACAACATGCTTTATCACAGAGTAGTAATACTATGACAATTATATGTGAATAAGAGCAATTTTAGGGTAGTGGTTAAAGCACCAGGCTAAAAAACAGGTGACTGTGAGTTCTAGTCCTGCTTTAGGCATAAAGCTGGCTGGATTCATCTGGAACCTGCTGTGGTGCTAGTATGACCTGCAACATCTGGAACCTGATGTAGTGCTGGCATGGTCTGCAACATCTGGAACTTTTGCTGGATGCTAGCACTCTTCTACAGCATCTGGAACATGCTATGGTAGTAACAGTCTCCCAAAACATCTGGAACCTACTGCATGCTAGCATGGTCTTCTGCAAAATCTAAGCCCTTTCGTTTCCCAAATTGATCCTTGAAAAGATGAAGAGTGCTGTATGTACTACAGCACCCATGACTCCAAACCATGGGGGTTGACAGTTGTGGTCCAACCAATCGGGCGACCTTCGGTTGTTTGTAAAACACACACACACACACACATAAGTGGAGCGTATTGTTTGTTTGTTTTTACAACTTAGAACTTAGAATAACTTTATTATCAATTTGACTGTGCACTAATGAGCATACATTAAGATGAAATTTAGTTGCAAAGGGTCTCCACCTCTAATATACACTGATCGTTCTCATGGTTTTGCATGCACTCATTGCGCTGCAAAACCACCTTTCTCGGCGTTCTCCTAAAAGCGACCCCCACCAACAGCAAAATTCGCGGGTCTGGCCCTTTAAAAAAAAAGGGGGAGGCGTCGTAACCTTGGAGACAGAGGCGTCTAAAGGATTCCAGCGCCTTTTTCCTGTTCCCCCGTCTTGACGCCATCCGCCTGCGCCCAGCTCTGCGGAAGGCGGCAAACGACGTCACCGCGAGCGCGACGGAGGAGCAACGGGCGAGCTCTGAGGATGTAAGTAGGAGAAAGGCGCTAATCCGTCGCCATCTGGCTCGGGGTGGCCGTGAGAGCGCCGGGAAGCGGTTCGCCGGGCCGCCGAAGGGCTTCTCAGCAGGGTCGGCCTGGTGGAAGAGCGTGAGGCCGCTTCGGGAGCGCGGGAGGCCCCGGACGGAAAGTGGGGAGGGGAGGCTCCTCTGAATCCGGAGGACGGGGCGGCGTGCGGATGGGTGACGTAGAACCAAGCTGACCCCGCCCCTTTCTGGCTTGTTGCTCAAAGCAAGTTCCTGGTTTTTTGGGGGGTGGGGAGGCTGAAGGAGCTGCTCCCCTCTTTTTTGGGGGGGGGTGGGGGTGAGGGAGAGAAGGAAGGCACTGGGTTCCTCAATGATCCATTGTAGATCTTAAAAAGTAAGTTTTGCACCATTTGCAGGCAAATGCTGCCCTGTAAGGTTTTGCATGGTGTGCTGTTGCTGGTATTGCAAAATAATAATAATAATAATTTGATCCAGTTTTTTTAAAAAAATTGCATTATGTACCCTTTCAATCCAGTTGGGGCTCTGGGTGGTTTTCAGGGTGCATAATAAGGCGGCGTGAATAATGCGGAGATACAAAATGATACCTCGGTGTAATGAAACTCAGGTCTTGCCTTGGGTGGCTTCCCAATGGTCCGCCAACTGTCCAAAAGGCCCTATATGGGTGTCTGATCGATGGTCGCTCAGAAGAAGATCTCACGGAGGAGCTTCGGTTTTGTAACTTGTATTCCATTCATAGCTAAGGAGCTAAGAGATAGTGGCGGAGCTTGATGTGTGGGTTGAAAAATAAAGCTAGGATAAAGAAAGTAGCAGTGAGATAAAAGTCAATGTTATCTGGGTGTTTTTTTATTGTGCAGCGGCAAAATATCTTGTTCCATCTCTTAAAAAGGATTAAATTGCAGGTTTGTTTATATGCCAATAGGGTGTCATAACAGACTCTTAATTTTTGCCTTCCAGGTGAAACTGAGTGCATACACAGCCATTCCAAACAGGTTTCTAAATAATAAAATAATCTCATATTGCCTGTTGTGGCCCCACTATCTAAACATTGTAGTACAAACTTTAAAATAGGTTTAGCAGTTCTTTCTCCTTCCAAAAGCGTGACCCCAATTAGGTTTGCTGGAGAAATGCTTTCATATATTTAAGTAGAAATATATGCAAGTATAATTGTCACCTATACTATGCTATACTTTTACAGAGAGTATATCTTTTAGCGTGCTGCTGTATACTTTATACTGAAGATTAAAAGCTGTAGAAAAGTAATTGTACCTATAGCGGCTAGAACATAGAATGGTTTGTTTTACTATGATTTGTGGAATAACTTGGCCTGGCTCACATATGAAGTTCAGCTATTAACCACAGATCATGCTTGATTGGATCATACTTATCCCGAGATCTTTAAGCAGGAGCTGTAAGTCTGGGAGCTCTGTCTCCCCCCACCCAAGTTTTATTCATGCTTAATTTTATTCATATTTTATTTTTAATTTAATTTCCTATTCAAAGATCCTGTCTGTATTTGTGTCAGAAGCTCCTACAAAGGGTGCTTCTGGGTTGAAAGGATTTGCAGGTTGCAACAGAGACTCCAGAATGCCAAAAATTATACAGTTTTGGGAAATCTCTGGACAGGAAAACCTTTTTACGACTGTGGCGAAAAACCTGTATCTTTGTTTAATATTAGAGGTCCTTCAAAAATATTCAAATACAGTATCTGGTAAAGTGCACAATGTAGATCAGTGTTACTCATCATCTTAAGTTGTGTGGATTTCCGTTCCCAGAATTCTCCAGCCAACCAGCTCCCAGAATTCTCCAGTCCACACAACTTAAATTTGCTCAGATTGGGAACACTGATTTTGATGGTTCAGCAGGTGCCATTTTCAGCCAGGTGTCATTTGGTGTTACGTCATCCCAGTGCTTTGCATGAATATTGCTTAGTATCACTGCCGTCCTTATCAAGTAGGACCCCCCCCCCCTTCTGCCTATATGTTAATTGTCTCTCAATATTTTTTTTATCTTGTCACTAGGCTGCACTCTGGAGCTTCCTGCATTCGCTTAGGGATCCAGTAGCTTTCAGATAAGTTGAGCCCTCACCCCACAGAGCTGCTTTGGGACTCGGAAGGGGAAAATGGAACTGTCAGGAATGAAAAAGAAGAGCTTGCTGGCCATCAAAGAAAATAATAAAAAGTCCAGCACTAGGTAACCACTGTCTGAATTTTCAAAGCCTAAATTCTTCCAGGAACTGGACGGAGTGGGGTGGGGGGGAGGTGGAGAGAGCTTTTCAGCCTACTAGGACTTTCCTGGGGAGCATACGTACAGACAGTACTCGACAATTGTTAAGTTAGTAACGCTGTTGTCAGGTGAATCTGGCTTCCTCATTGACTTTTCCTTGTCGGAAGGTCACAAGAGGTATATTCACCTTATCCTGAAACATTGCAACTGTCATAAATAGGAGTCAGTTTGCTAAGCGTCCAAATTTTGACCATGTGACCATGATGTGACCACAATGGACTTAAAAGAGTGAAAAACGGTCATAAGTCACTTTTTTTCCCCAATGACTGTAATGTCAAACAGTCACTAAACGAACGGTCGAGGACTATCTGTAATTAGAAATGCCTTTTGCTCCTTTCATTAATTTCCACATGTGGCTCTGCCTTTCTTTAAACCTGTTCTATAGAGGCTGGGAATTTTGTGACATCATCATGCTTTTGTTGTGGTGCAGTGGCCTAGAGGTGGAACTCTCGCCTCACAATCAGGAGGCTGTGAGTTCAGTCCTAGGTAGAGGCAGATATTTCTCTCTCTGGACACGATGAGAATATATCTGCTGAACAAAACTCCGCATTGGCAACAGGAAGGGTATCCAGCCAGTAAACATTCAGCTCCATTCAGTTGCCCAGACTCCCACCCCGCAAGGGATTATGGGGTCTTTAAAAGGAGATGATCATTCTTTTGTTTGGCAACTGAAGTTAGAAGATAACTTTCTGGTCTTTTTATTAAAGGGCTCCCTCTCCAAGCAAGCGCAAAGACCGGACCGAAGAAAAATCCAAGGACCGGTCCAAGGACAAACCAGCCACAAAGGAGTCAGGCGAAAAGGACCGTGGGCGTGACAAAACCCGCAAAAGGCACAGTGCTTCCAGCGGCAGCAGCAGCACCAGGTAAATGGTATCCTAGCCAGGGATGGGATATGACAGGGTTAACTACCTGTTTGGGATTTACGAGCTTCCCTGCAGGCTGCGAGCCGCAAGCCTGTAAATCGTCATCAGCACGCTGCATGCAGAGAAGTGGCCTTTGAAACAGCCCTCTTTTCCTGCTTTTTTAACTGCAGCTGTGCCTCATTCGGCAGCTGAAGTTGAAAAATCAGGAAATAAAGATCAGGTAAGAGCCCTGGTGGGTGGGTGAGCAAAAACATCAGCAGACATAGAACCGGTTCTGTGTCTGCTGCTCTTCAGAGCTACCGGTTCTACAGAGGTGGACAGAACCGGTAGATACCCACCCCTGATCCTAACATCCCTGAAAAAGTGTCAATGCAGGGCCAGGTCGTTGGTTCTCGGGAGCTAGAAACTCACTTCCTGAGGAATTCTGGTGGGGAGGCAGAGTTTCAGGGTTTCAAACTTATCCCCTGGAGCCCCAGGGATGGGAAGGGACCCATTTCCTGTCTATAAGAACATGGATAGTAACCATTTTATTTGGTGCCATACATATTTACTTGATCCTGTTAGAATAGTTTTCATTGTTTGATGCTGTATGGTGTACACTGCCCAGAGTCGCTTGTTGAAGTGGGTAGCAGTAGAAACCAACCAACTTTAAATTATTATGTTACGTATTTCCATTCACCAGGGGTTGAGGAATTTTAGGGATAGTCACCAAGAAGGGTCTTCTACGCATCTGGTCTTGCTCTAAAGTTTTGATAGAAATGATCCATTTAAGAAAAAACACATTGATTAGACATTGATTAAAAACCATTCCTCTTTCCTGATGTATGTTTGGGGTTTATGAGGGCTCCTTGCAAGCATTCTAGATCCCGGGACTTGGTTCTGCTCAGTTTTGGTGATACGTTTGCTGCTCGTCTTCTGTCAGGTCTCGGTCCAGTTCAACCTCCAGTTCGGGGTCAAGTTCCAGCACTGGGTCCAGCAGTGGTTCCAGTTCCTCTTCTGCCTCAAGCCGCTCAGGGAGCTCCAGTACTTCCCGCAGCTCCAGCTCCAGCAGTTCTTCGGGCTCTCCGAGCCCTTCCCGGCGTAGGCATGACAATCGGAGACGGTCCCGTTCCAAGTGAGTGGGCATTGCCTCGTGGGGGGATGTGACCCACCTGGACTTGGGTGAGGAGGCTTCAAAGTCTTGGGAGTTGGGGACTAGTTGTCACCCATTGCTTTAAATCGGAGGTTTTCAGACGCTTCGGTTTATCGGTCCTTTTATGAAGAGTTTCACATTATTCGTAGATCACAGACAGACACACATTATTTTAATAGTGATACGAATATTAACCACGATAATAACATTGGATCTTGGAGAGTCCATTAATCCTTGGAGGTGATTATTGACCGCTCTGGAGAACTCTGCTTTAAATCTTTGTTGGTGTAATTGTTGTAAATGCCAGTTGATTAGGTTTACCTGAAATGGTAAGTCCATGAGTTATAATGCAGAACATTGTAGGCAAAACCCTCTGTCAGCATTCCAACTAATAACCTCCAACCCAATAAACTCAGAGACCAGCATTTTCTCAAAGTTCCGTTTTATTAGAGTTGCCATATTGGCACATCTGGGAAAACCCGAATCTGGGAGTTCCGGGTTTTCCTTTCCCAAAAGAGAAATGAAAGATCCATCCCCTGCACTCATCAGTCCATTACATGGCCCAATCAAATCTTTGTCCCAAGCTGGAAACATCCCTCCACCAGTCACTCCCCTCCAGGTGTAGGGCAACATGTCTTTCACACTCTGAGAATGAATGTTATTGTGTCTAATCTTCTACCCCACTGTGAAATCCCCCCTCCCAAATTACCAGGCATTGAATGTGACAGCCTCAAAGCTTCCAAGGTAAAAAAAAAATGGCTCCCAAGGCTGACACCCTCATTGCGGCCCAGTTTTGTGTTTAAACACCCCAAATTCCTGATACGATTTTGTAGAATGTAAATGCTAGATCTTTTTTAATTAACTTTTTAAAAGCCTAAAAATCAGGAGCTTGCTAGCACCTTTTATGACTAAGACATTTTATTAAAAGCTTTTAAGAGATGTATCTCCTTTTATCAGATGCAGAGTGGCCAGACTGATGTAGGATTTAAACTGGGGTGAGGTAGGAGGCAGGGAGGGGATAATAGTTTGATTTATGCAGATGTAAATACAATGGGTTTTTTTTAATCACATTCCAACTGTTAATAGATAAGGTACTTGTAATCCCATGAATTTGCACAATCAACTTATCTGCTCTCCTTCCCCCATCTTCCCCCATTTTAAATCCTACATCTAACTGCTCTGCATTTGATGATGAGAGCTGCAGCTCAGGAACCTGCTGCCTTTAATAATGTTTATTAGTCAGAAGAGTTGCTACCAAGCTACTGATTATTATTTTTTTGCTACCATAGATTTAACACTGCCGTCTTCCTATCACGTCTGAAGATCCAACATTGAAAAGTACATCATTCTGACATGCTGTTGTTTAAATAGCATGACATTTAAACGGTAGCCGGCAACTGACTTTTACTACAAGCTTGCTCCTTAGAAAACGGTCTCTTTTTTTTTTCTCTCCAGATCTAAACCACCCAAGAGAGACGAAAAAGAACGGAAGAGGAGGAGTCCCTCCCCTAAGCCCACCAAAGTTCACGTCGGGAGGCTCACCAGAAATGTCACGAAGGTAATTGCAACCAGGCCCTTACTTGGATTCAGAAAGAAGAAAAATAAGGCCCTGAAGGAGCCAGAATCAAAGCCATAATCAATTTTGAACATTGGGAATTTGGAATCACCTTGTAAAGGAACTTAAGGCTGGACTCATAAAAACACGAGTATCATTTCAGGAGGAATAACTCAGGCTTACATTTAATCATCCTGCTCCACCGTTCTCGGTTCCATTGGTGGTTCTAAGAAAAGCCTTTCCCCACTTCCCAGACCCAATTGCTGTCTGATGCTTTTTCCATAGTGGACCTAATCGCGCCTATCAGTTGAGCTCACTGTCTTAACGCCTTGCTTCTACCCCTTCTAGTATTTCTGTATTATTTTTCCTTTAAATATATTCAGGAATATATTTTGGCTAAGGTAAGAAAGCAAATCTGAGACAAATCCCTCTGCATGAATTTGGCTGATAGGCATACCTCTCGGTTAAAGGTGTAGCTGTTTCTTGTTCAATATTCTTTCAGAAGCCTAACGATAATGGGAATATATAGGGATACCAGGGATTTCTTTTTCCTTTTTCTTTAAGGATCACATCATGGAAATATTTTCTACATACGGAAAGATCAAGATGATTGATATGCCAACAGATAGGCTCAACCCGCATCTTTCCCGAGGCTATGCCTACGTAGAGTTTGAGAATCCAGATGATGCTGAAAAGGCACTGAAACACATGGATGGAGGTAGGTGTCTGGAATTAAGAGGGTTCCAGATCGAGTGTCAAGGAAAATTGGGGCGGGGGGAGGATTAAAGGGGGCTCCTGTGGACTTCAGATGGCTGGCCGGGGAATTCTGGGAGTTGAAATGCACACTTCTTCAATTTGCCACGGTTCAGAGACACTCTTTGCAAAGATAGATTGCTAATTATTGGTAAACTTTCGTCTCATTGACATGTTTTTCCTACTGACTTCCTTTGAAATGAACATCCATCCATTCCCAAAGCACCCATGCCCTACATTTTCCCCCTCTCCATGTGTGCTACAAGAACAATTTCCAGCTGGCGTTTTAAGCAGGCAGAATGAGAAAACGTGCTTTCTAAAGTGGTCTTATAGCTACAGCACCACGCTATTCTTCTGTGATTGAAACAGGTCAAATCGATGGGCAGGAGATTACCGCCACAGCTGTTTTAGCGCCTCGTCCAAGGCCTCTTCCAAGGCGTTTTACCCCTCCCAGAAGGATGTTGCTACCACCCCCTATGTGGCGCCGCTCACCACCACGCATGAGGAGAAGGTAGGTTGCCTTAATCGGTGATAATGGATGCCAGCCCTTTCATGCTTATAGATCAAGAAACAAGACATTCCAGAAATGCCACTCTATGGTTGCAGGGTGCCGTGATACCTTAAAACTTTGTTGAAATTTCTTTCTTCTTCATCTTGTACTAAACAGAATCAATGCAAGGAGATTTGGAGTTTTTTTTCTTCTCACACTGCTGTCAATTTCTGGACCATGTAATTGCTTCTCTGAGTGTCCCTTTAATGGCTCTTGCATTCCTTCTGAATCCCTTCCCAGGAAGGCAGGGCTATTGTGGTTAATCGGATATGCATCTTTCTTACGCACCTTGATAGAAGCAGTCGTACTGACCTAGGTTTCCCAAGAACATGAACCAGACTCCTCGTCCCGATAAAACCCCTTTTATTTAGGTTAAAGTGAATTCCTCTCCAGCAAAGTCCCGGCAAACAGTCCTTCATGAGATTTCCTAGCTACAGACCTTCATCGGGTTTGGAGAGTTGCCAGGCTAATATCTTGCAAACGCCACGCTGTAGCAGCAATTGCTTTGCAAGAAGTCAGGAACAGATCTTCACCTTAATGAATTGACCTAATTGTCTCCTGCAAACACCACTCCCCTTTTGCTCCTCTTTATTCCCCATAGGAGGGCCCATTCACGGTCTACCTGTGCCTTTACTTCCAAGTCGACCCTTGTTCCTTAGCTGTTCCCTTCTGGCAGCTCTGTGCATGCACATACTGGGAAAAGGCTCCAGCTGTTTTTCTTCCTTACTGATGTCTGAATCCGAAGGCAGCTAATAACTGTAAGCCAGCCCTGGCTCAATCTCTGCCTCTGACACAGAGCACTCGTCACAGTCCAGACTCCAGGACTGGCCCATGTTCCGCCCCAACCTCCTCACTGTTCGAGTCTGTCGCCAGCTCTGCTGGACGCTGGCAAGCCACAACAGCAGTATTTTTGTAATGGAAGTGCATGTACCTTGTCGCAATGAGTTTATTAATGTTTTCAATTGTCAGAAGGCTTCTTGAAACCCTTCTTTGGGAGCCATTATTGTGGTCATCAAATAAAACTCTATTTTTATTATACAGGGACACCTGTCCTCGGTCCTTCCAAACGCATCTAAGAAACTTGAGTTTCCCGTTCAGAAAAAGGCAGGCAATAAACAAATAGCCTGCGAAAACATCTTTGAATTGTGCTGATTATACTGTACTAAGTAGGTGGGGCTCTTCTTCATCTGAATCTGTTTCCTTTCAGATCCAGGTCTCCCAGGCGCAGATCCCCAGTTCGCAGGCGATCCAGATCCAGATCTCCAGGCCGGAGGCGTCACCGCAGTCGATCCAGTTCCAACTCTTCTCGATAAAACACAGGACTAGGCAGTTCTGGTTTTTTTTTTTTTAAAGTTAAAAATGCACCCATTTAAAATGGTCTCTTTTTTAAGGAAAAAAATGGAATCAGAATAAAGGAAAGGGACGGTTGAGAAATGAGAAAAACTAGCTAGGAATCTTGGATCGGATAGGGTGGAGATGTTCCTTTGGTTTTGACATTCTCAAAGATAATTTGTTGTTTTAGACATAAATCTTTACAATCCCAAGAAAATTGGCTGCTTCCCAGACATGCCAAAATGGCTGGGACATACATTGTCAAAATATCTTTGTCCCCTTTCACTAAATCAGTACTTTTTTATACCCCCACTTTGTTTCTAATCCTCTTGCCAGCCCAGAGTTATATTTTGGCCGTTGGCCATATTGGTTATTGAATCTGTGACAAACTGAAAATACCCCTTAAATTAAACTCTTATTAATGATAGAGAAAAAAAAATCCCAGTTCCTGCCAAGAACGCTTTAAATCTTTTGCTTTTTAGAAGACGTGCAAAACACAGGAGCTGAAAAATTGTATTTTCCTGATCTCTGTTTGGGAGGTGGGTGGAAGCGAGGATTTTGTGATTGGAATAACTGAGGTTCCGTTTCTAAAAGGCCAGAGAGCCTTCAGCCTGTTGTACAGTCATTACTATAAAGTTTGATTTTTGTATAACTTGGTGGCATCTTGTAGTCATGTTGTGTTTGTACTTGTGTAGAATGACAAATAAACCAATAAGGTTTAGGGTGTGAACGAATTATTGCTCATTGAAAATTACAGTAATCATCTTGGTTTAATATTTTAGCAAATAAGCCAGCAGTGAATGCTGGGCACCACTAACAAGGATTAGAAAAACACTTCAGAGTGTCTAGGTTAGGTTTCCCTAACTCAGTGTCTTCTGGGTCAGTTAAGACTACAGCTTGCAGCTTAGATGAATTATCTTTGCGTTAGATCGAACTATATTGGGGAGAAAATATATTTAATATTTTTACTCCATAAACCAGTGTTTGTCAACCTGGGCGGCTGTGATGTGTGGAAATGAAAAACCCTGCCACAGACAAGTTTTTATATGGTTGGATCTTGCAATCTCTGTTAATACCTACATCAAGGGCAGTTAATCTCAAATACTTAGGGTCTCCTGTTTGAGTAGAGGTTGGACTAGAAGACCTCCAAAGTCCCTCCCAACTCCAGTTATTCTGTTATTCCGAAGACTTGGATAGTAACTGTAAATGCAGTGTTGAATAAACCTGTGTATTGAGCAGAGTTACCATTGCAGTAATTTTGAAGGCGATCTAGTCTTCCAAGAGGTTCCGGGAGAGTCACGCTAGAGTGATTATCAACCCATTGGTTTCTCAAGAAAGCACACGCTCAGATCTCTAAATTTCTCTCTCTTTTTGTGGGATCTCAGATCTGCTCTTTTGATGAAGTGCTGGAAATCAGCATGAACTACATTCTGCTATATGTTTAACAGATACACACGCACACATACACTCTATATTCTACGTCATGATTAAACCAGATCTGGACTATTGAAAATGTAATAAATACATTAAGAGTTAACATGAGTAACTCAGATGCCCAGATACCAGCATCTTGCAGGTGTCAACTGTTCCATGTAGAGCAGTGGCCTCCCCGCAACCTTTTGGGCCCCAGGGACTGGTTCCACGGAGAAAGGTTTTTCCCCAGACCGGAGGGAACATGGTTTTGCGTGCTGCTGCCTGCATCCTGCAGGTGGGGCATGCTTTGTGCAGATTGGGGGTGAGGGACCCCTGATGTAGAGGCCGAGAACTATGGCTTATATATGATGCAAACTGCAGTCACTATGTTAAAGCAGGGCTCTCCAACCTTGGCAACTTTAAGCCTGGCGGACTTCAATTCCCAGAATTCCCCAACTGGCTTGGGAATTCTGGGAGTCGAAGTCCACCAGGCGTAAAAGTTGCCAAGGTTGGAGACCCCTGCTTTAAAGTGTACAAATGCAGGCAATTGTGTGGATGTAGTAACCCAGGGGGTCTTCAAACTTGACAGCTTTTAAGACTTGCAGACTTCAACTCCCAGAATTCCTCTTCCAGTCATGTCAGCTCAGGAATTCTGGGAGATGAAGTCCAGAGCAGTGGCCTAGAGATGGAGCTCTCACCTCACAATCAGGAGGAGGTGAGTTTGATCCTAGGTAGAGGCAGATATTTGGAATAGACACTCCTACTTGAGCAGCGGGTTGGACTAGATGTCCTCCAAGGTCTCTTCCAACTCTTTTGTGTTCTATGTGCCTTCACATTGGACAATTTCTGTCCTCTTTAAGTCTTAAACTTGCCAAGTTGGAAGAACCTTGGTTGGTAGTAATCCACGTTGCGCTTGATTTTTTGGGTTACTGACCCAAAAAATCAAGCGCAACGTGGATTACTACCAACCATGCAAAATAAACAAAAAATGCATGGCAAAATAAACAGCAAGCAAAGAAGAGAGTGCATTTTTTTCCCTGACGGATGGAACTTTTAAAATACATTTCCTACCCCTTTTTGCAAACGTCCTGTGAATACAAGCTCATTTTTGAACGCGTAATTGGAGAATACTATGGAGGGGCGCTCCTCGGTTACTGTCTCTTTAAGACGGGTGGGCGGAACCAAGGGCGGCCTCGCGCGCCAGTTTTGACCAGTCGCGGGGAGAGCTAATTCGTCAGGCACGCGAGAGCGGTGATAGAGTTTGGAAAAGCGGGAGCTTAGAGTGGCCCTCAATTCTTAACTTCCTGTCACGAGGGAACCCAGATTGAAGCCAACCGCTCCAAGTCTCTGCGAAGTTGGCACAGAGAGAAATCCTAGAGCGCCCTTTGTTTTCTTCCGAGGCGCGTTCGCAGAACTCGAGTCGGCTAAAGTGAGTGATAACCCCAAATATAATAAACCCATTTAAATATAAATATAGATGTTATATATATGTTATATGTTATGTTATATATATGTTATATATTGTATATATATGTAATATGTCTGTGTTCAGACGTGTTCACACGTGACGTGCATTGCTTAAATTAATTTTGCATTGCTTAAATGCATTGCTTAAAATTGTAAATTATGCATTGCTTAAAATTGTAAATTCTGCATTGCTTAAATGCATTGCTTAAAGTTGTAAAGTAAAGTCGTAAAAGCTGGTTCAAAACCAAATTCTACAGCGCTGTGTAGCTTTCTCGTCACAAGTGTTGCCATAAATGTGGGTGGGTGGGTGGGAAGATATATTAAATCTGTATACCTTATATAAACTTATGGTTATTATTGTAAACGTATATTTTCCTTCCCAAAAGACCAGCCGTTCATAGGTGACTGATGTATTTTGCATTATCCTAACGAGTTTTTTCCTTATCCTAATGAGTTTCTGTTTTTTCTTAAGAGAACAGTTAAATAGCATAGAATTCTTTATTGGCCAAGTGTGATTGGACACACAGACAAATTCCGGTGCATAAGCTCTCAGTGTGTACATACAAGCAGTACTATTGATAAATCATGATCATAGTAATCGTAAAAATACATTTATCATAAATCATAAGATACAACACAGTGATAGTCATAGGATACTAAATAAGCAATCAACATAAATCATACTAGGATACTAATTAAACAATACAAATCATAAGATACAAGCAACAAAGTTATAGTCATAAGATAAGGAATTAGGTAATAGGAAAGATTAGAAGAATAATATAATACAACCTTACTAGACAGCTTGATAGTGTTGTTGAATTAATTGTTTAGCAGAGTGATGGCATGGGGGGAAAACTGTTCTTGTGTCTAGCTGTTCTGGTGTGCAGAGTTGTTCTATAGTGTCGTTTTGAGGGTAGGAGTTTATGTCCGGGATGTGAGGGGTGTGTAGATATTTTCACAGCCCTCCTTTTGACTCGTGCAGGATACATGTCCTTGATGGAAGACAGACTGGTTGCAAGGTTTTTTTCTGCAGTTCCATAATTATCTGTTGAAGTCTATATCTGACATGGTTGGTTGCAGTCCCCAAACAGACAGTTATAGATGTGCAGATGACAGGTTCATTAATTTCTCTGTAAAACTATCAGCAGCTCCTTGGGCAGTTTGAGCTTTCTGGGTTGACTCAGGAAGAATATTCTTTGTTGTGCTTTTTTGATGACGTTTTGATGTTAGGTGTCCATTTTAAGTCTTGAGATATTATAGAACCTAGAAAGTTGAAGGTCTCTACTGTTGATACTGGGTTGTCTGGTAGTGTAAGAGGAGGTAGTATGGGAAGGGTTCTCCTAAAATCTACTATCATTTCTACAGTTTTGGGTGTGTTCAGTTCAAGATTATTCTGGCTGCACATATGCTCCTACTATCTTCTGAACGGTGTATCAAACTTCTCATTTTTCCTTCTAGAAGCAGCCGGGAGAAATGGATCCTAAGTTGCATGATGTTCGTAATACAGTGAAAGAAGCAATTAGCACCCTACATTCTTCCAGAGATAGTGCCCATGTCCAGGAGACTTTGTGGGCAGTCAGGAGGTATCTTGATGAATCTGAAAATCCACCCTCCATAAAACAGAAGGAAGAATTTATCCGCAATCATTTTACTGTCTTGGTTCAGTCTCTGCTCAGCAACCTGAGTCCTGATTGGCCAGAGCAGTTTCCATCAGAGGAAGCCAAAGAACTGTGGGCTAGCTTCTTCATTGATGGACCAGCAGATCAATCTTTTATGGCTTTACTGGATGCTATAATTTCTGCAGAGTAAGCACAATCTCTCTCCCTATAATTATATAATTATTTCAAGAGCTGCCTTCTTTCCCTAGAGGGCTAGCCAAATAAAAGTGATCAATAAGTTGTTACGGCCAGTATTTCTCTCCGCAGGCCAAGTTTTCGTCTGAATAAAGCAGTTGATACCCTAGAGCAATTCTTGCAGAAGTCCAGACTCTCTGCTTTAATATGGGAAATCTGCAAGCAGCATACAGAAGGCGGTTCTCTGGTTTTGCGCGAAGCAATTCTCAACAAAGTTGTATGTTTACCTGATCACTTAGGGAACAAACTCCAGGAAGTCAACCGACCAGTCTTCTACCCTCAAAATTATTTTCCATTGCTTGGCATGGAAATTATCCAGGTGATGGAAAGAATTTCTGGCTCACTACGTGGTAAGCATTGACAGACACATTAATGTATCTAGTGGGTGAACAGGCAAAAACTGCTGTGAACTACTGAACAGGAGGGAAGGGTGTATGAGCGAAAATAAATACAATTACAGGAGAAAATGTTTTTTTTTTAAATGATAAGGTGTTTGCTTCTAAGAGAATTCATATAAACAGTTCTACATGCTGGGATTGAAAATAGAAGTTACTCCAAAGTCTACAAGTGGGAAAACTTTGATCTCCCAGACATAAACTTCCACAAGTAATAATGGCACTTCAGTCTATCATTACTTAGACCAGTGTCTTTCAATCTTGGAAACTTTTAAGATATGTAGATTTCAACTCCCAGAATACCCCAGCCAACTTGCTCACCAGAATTCTGGGAGTTGAAGTCCACACATCTTAAAGTTGTTAAGGTTTAGAATCACTGACCTTGATATTGTTTCTGTTTCTCTCATCAAGTGTGTTTTGACTGGCTTGGAGAAAGTTAAAGCAGACTGAGTATTGATTTAAAAAAAGGTTTTGGGATAGAAGTGGATCTGACCAATCCCTTCACTGTTGTGCTTTTATGTATTTCCAGATGGTTTGGATTGTTCCATTTCCTTTGTATCTCAAGTGTTAGGAAAGGTCTGTGTGCATGGAAGACAAAGTGAGTACTGTGTATGATATTGCTGTTTTTCTGTTGCTCAGGTTGAATGAAATATGTACGTGGAGGGCTACCAGCAATCCATAAGCTCTTTTTCCTCTTCAAAATGTTACAGGTTTAAGATTGAGGATTTGAACTAAGCCAACTAAGGAGTAACATAAATATGTAGCAGATTGTTATTAAAGGAAAGAGAGGGTGTGCAATTTTCTTGTAGTCTGTGGTGCAAACAAAATTGTGGGGATGCTGGGTTGGAGGTTAGCAAGCTCCTGTTTGAGACCTGAGTGTTGCTGGGTGGTGGAGTGAGCTCCTGTCATTCGCTCCAGCTCCTTGACGGGGACATGAAAGGAGCCTACACAGGAATCCCTAGGCAACAGTGATGTCACCCCCAAATCCCAAAATCTTCAACATTAGACTGTCTACTATGGACCTCACTCTTTCCTAAGAGATCTGTAGGGGGCATGCGTAAGTGCACCAAAACATGCCTACTGTCCCTGTCCTATTGTTTCTTTTTTCTTATTCGTATCCATTTCATGTATTTATAACCATGTTTATACTTATACCTGTTATCTAATAATTGTTTGACCAAATAAATAAATAAAGAAAGAAAGAAAGAATCCTTTTAACCAGGAAGCGCTTTAAATGGCACCTTCAACACGAACAAGATGGGAACAAAAATATCAAAGCACATTGGGTAGCTTTTTGACGATGACTCTTTTAAAAACCTACCTTCTGAAAAAGAGCGAGGGCAGCTTGTTTTATGAGCTCCGTCTTGCTTTTTCCAATCTCAGAAGTGCATGGTTTTGCTGTTTCTTAATGCAGAAGAAATCTTGAGCGCGTTGGTGCCTCACCTAACCAATTACACTCAGTCTGATTGCATCTGGCAGAGAATCTGTTGGCGACTATTTGAGAGCTTGCCCGATCGCTGGATGGAAGCAGTGGTCTGTGGCTTGGTCCAGGCAGTCCCAGGGTAAGAGTTACTGGGAGAAGGTGGGGCTATGACACATTAACGTTTTGTCTTTTTCGTGTTCTGGCAACACCTGGATCTAGCAGCCATCAAGAGGCCATACTGCTGCAAGTTAAAATTAATGCTAGTCTAGTGAAGAGAAGGACCAGGGGAAACCTGAGAGCAGTCCTCCAATACTTGAGGGGCTGCCACAGAGAGGAGGAGGAGGGTCAAGTTATTCTCTGAAGGCCAGACAAGGAATAATGGATGGAAACTGAACAAGGGGAGATTCAACCTGGAAATAAGGAGAAATTTTCTGACAGTGAGAACAATCAACTGATGGAACAGAAGTTGCCTTCGGAAGTTGTGGGTACTTCATCACTTGAGACTTTCAAGAAGACATTGGACTGTCAGAATTTATGTAGGGTCTCCTGCTTGGGAGGGGGGATGGACTAGATGACCTACAAGGTCCCTTCCAACTCTGTTAATCTGTTAATCATGGGTCAACAGTGTCTGAAAGCTGGTTTGGTCTAGTGGTAAAGGTGCTGGCTTATAAACCAGGAGGCTGAGTTCTAGTCTCACTTTAAGAATAAATGCCATGTTATGACATTGGGCCAAGCTTTTTCTCTCAGTCCAACTCACCTTCCAAGGTTTCCATATTCTGGAAAATAGATGGAAGAGGGAGTTTTAGGAGTGTTCATTTCCTTGAGTTACTTATAAAGCAATTAAGCGAGGATAAAAATCAGCCACTCCAAGATCTCGTGGCTTAGTTTCAATACCAGCAGTAGTTTTGAACTACTACTAGTTTTTAATACAACAGAAGAGTTTCAGTGCTCTTCAGTTTTCCTGGTTGCTGGTCATTTGTGCCTCGGTTCGCAGATTATACTAAAGAAAACCCCAACTATCTTACAGCTTCACATTGGAATGTGCACTGTTGAAAAATAATAACTTGTTCGTTTTATGGGAGATAGATTATGTCGATTATTTCCCAATTCTTTTGGTATGTTTTATGTTCTTAAAGGTACTGTGCACTTTTCTAAAACCTCTCTTAATCAGGGAAGCACAGGATACAGTAGTGACTAAAAACAGCCCAGTATTAACGTAACTGAATGTGTTGACTGTAAGTGTGTTTGTCTGCCTTGTTAGGCCCGTTGTGTTGTCGCGATTGCTGGGGAATTTGGTGGTCAAAAACAAGAAGGCCCAGTTTGTCATCACACAAAAACTGTTGCTGCTTCAGTACAGCTTTCCGGTGAGTATCTTAGTGGGGGAATGAAAGAGGTCAGTGAGACGGACTGGACTTAACCACTTTTGAAAAGATTGGGATCTTATTCCTTTTCAAACAAGAATTAAAACATGGCAATTATTCACAATATTCCCATTATAAAGTGAGTGCTTGGACACCAGATTTAATTCTCTTATCAGAAGTCTCTGGGATACAGAGGTAGTCCTCAGCGTATGACCAATTCAGTGAATTGTGCCTGATTTTACAACCTGGGGTTTGGTTTTTTTGCCATTGTTGTTAAATGAATCACTGTCTTAAGTGAATCACACAGTCGTTAAGCAAACCGAGCTTCTGCCATTGGCTTGGCTTGTCGGAAACCAGCCTGGGAAGACCAACAATGGGGATCACATGACCCCAGGATGCTGCAACCATGGTAAATATATGCCCGTTGCCAAGCAGCCAAATTTTGACCACGTGACTAAGGGGATACTGCGATGGTTGTAAGTGCAAGGTCATAGATCACTTTTTCAGTGCCACTGTGACTCCCAACAGTCACTAAATGGGTGGTAACTTGAAGACTACCTGTGATTGTTACCTCTGTGCACCTTCAACCCTGCTAGCAAGTGCTTCCTTCTTGGAATGGTTTACTGGGTTTTGTCAGCGTGTAAAGACGCTGAGCTTGTGGATCAGAAAGGTTAGCAGTTCGGTGGTTCGAATCCCTAGCGCCGCGTAATGGAGTAAGCTCCCGTTACTTGTCCCAGCTTCTGCCAACTGAGCAGTTCGAAAGAATGTAAAAAATGCAGGTAGAAAAATAGGGAGCCCTTTGGTGGGAAGGGAAGGGCGTTCCGTGAGCCTTTGATGTTTAGTCATGCCGGCCACATGACCACGGAGACGTCTCCGGACAACACGGAAACATCCTCAGACAGTGCTAGCTCTTCAGCTTTGTAACGGAGAGGAGCACCGCCCCCTAGAGCTGGAAACGACTAGCACGTATGTGTGAGGGGAACCTTTACCTTTACCTAAACTCTCTGATTTGATTCCAGACCAAGGTGCTGCAGACTCTCCTTGGCTACCTTGCCCTGGATACCACCCGTCGTTCCTTGCTGACCAAAGTAAGCAGTGTATTAATGGAGGGCTTAATTGGCGGGCCTAAATAGGGCAGAGGGTGGGATGAAGCAGCCCTTGTGGCCACGTCAAGGCCTGAAGGTTATGCTTCTCTCCGTTTGAGAGAGGCCGGTGGAGGCAGCATCCGAACTGGGGTGGGAGTTAACTCCAGAGACAAACGGCTAGCAGATGCTTGGATTCGCACGACTCAACCCATCGATGGCAAAAAGGGTAAATGAAGCCGGTTGTTTAAAAGAATGTCTCTCCCTCTTAATTTTTTTCTGCAACAACTACCCTCTTGAACAGGTTGGGCTGAGAGAGGAAGCGATCAAAAGTCACCCTGCCAGCTTCTATGGCTAATGTTGGACTTGCATCTGAGTTTTGTCACTATTGGTCCAGCCCCTACACTACATTGGCTTTTCAAGAAGCATCTAAATACAGAATAGAATAGAATAGAATAGAATAGAATAGAATAGAATAGAATAGAATAGAATAGAATTCTTTATTGGTCAGGTTTGTTTGGGCACACAAGGAATTTGTCTTGGTGCAAATGCTCTCAGGGTACCGAAAAGAAAAGATACATTCCTCAAGAGTCAAGAATCATAAGGTAGGACACTTAATAACAGATATAAGGTACAATAAGCAAGCAAATCATACTAGGAAACAGTCAGTATAAATTGTAAGGATACAAGCAACCAAGTTACAGTCGTACGTTCCTATAAATGGATAGATCCAGGGGTGGGTTTCTACCGGTTCCGTCCACCTCTGTAGAACCGGTAGCTCTGAAGAGCAGAACTGGTTCTATGTCTGCTGATGGTTTTGCCCACATGCCCACCGGGGCTCTTACCTGATCTTTTTTTCCTGATTTTTCAACTTCAGCTGCTGAACGAGGCACAGCTGCAGTTAAAAAAGCAGGAAAAGAGGGCTGTTTCAAAGGCTACATCTCTGCATGCAGCCTGCTGATGACGATTTACAGGCGTGCGGCTCCCAGTGTGCAGGGAAGCTTGTAAATCCCGAACTGGGTTGTTAACCCTGTCGTATCCCACTCCTGGATAGATCGCTCCTTGCCCTGTAAGAACTGCCCTGTCAGGTAGGGTGGGTTGACAAGACCAGGAGTGACCCAAAGTTAATCGGAGTGGATTTGAATCCGGGCTTCCCTGGTGCCAGTCTAGCATCTTCAAGCAGGAAAATTGCCTGCCTGTCTTCCTTCAGGCCCAAAGTGATGGGATGGGATGGGATGGGATGGGACAGAGCCGAAAGCCCACTCGGACCTGATGCTGAGCTTCTGATGCAGATTCTGAGAGAGCTGCTGGAGACCTGGAGTAGCAGCAGTGCCGTGAAACACTCCCCAGCCGAGCAGCAGCTCTACATTAGCAAGGCCATCCTCCTCTGTCTCTCTCACCTGGAAGAAGAAGACCTCTCAGCCAGCCGACAAGGTAAAGGAGGCAGAAGAGGATTTGGCAGAAAGGATGGGGCAGAATTGGCTCCGTTCCCTGGTCTCAGGTTCTTCAAGAGCTGCTTCCTTATTGGAGCCATCGGCAGCCCATCCTTCTCCAGCTCTCCCTTCTTCCCTCCCCAACTTCTTTAGCCAAAATAAGAGAAGGAGGCGTCAGAGAACAGATGGGGAAAAGGTTCATAAAGGAAGTGTCAGGATTCCGGAAATCACCCCCATTTAAATCATGAGTCTGGAGCCAAACTTCCAAAACTTCCAAAGGATTTATTGGGAGTTAACATGCTGGCACTGCTTGGGTGTAGCCGACTCCGAGACACATTATTCATTGTCACCCTTGACCCTGGTTTTCCCCTCCACCCCCCCTGGGTGTATCGTAATTCATATTCTCCAATGGGACACATCCATAGCCAAGAGTCATCAGGCATGTTCTCCAGTTAGAATGCTGAAACTTCAGTCACCCAGTTACTATCTTTGAAAACATTGACGGAATGCACTTTTGGTTTGCAAGCTGCCGCACTGCTCCCCCTTTCTGCCTTTCTGTTGGCAACTCTAAAAAGACCCTAGAAATATTTTATGAATTGACAAACATGTTTTAAGTTCTACTTCTTGCTGGGAAAAGTTAAGGGAACGATGAAACTCATACTCAGGTGTTTGATGGATACGTTGATCTGGCCTGATCAGAGGAGCACCTTGCATTTTAGGATGAACTTGTTCCTTTGCTTCTGGCTTGCCTTTCCAGAGCTCTTTACCAGCCTGATGGAGGGAATGAAATGCCACCTGGACAGTAATTTGCCCCGGATCCGTCGGATGGGCATGGTCGTAGCAGAATCTGTCAGCGCCAAGATAACGCCGGAAGGGCCCGCGTTGGTGTTCCAGGCAAGCGGCTAGAGTGATTTTGCTGTAGGGATTTTGTTGCAAAAGTAGCACACTAAAGAAACCCCAATCTTTTTTTTATTATAAAAGTTTTATTTCAGTTTTCCACATTTTAAAAACATCTCTTTTTTAGTGAACAGCATGATTCCAGGTTTTTCACATTTCCATACAAACATGTCTTTGATTACATACTCGCCTTTCACATTTAGTTTCATATCTTACTATTACTTTACATATTTTCTGTTATTTTTTCTCCAATACTTTCCTCCAGCTTATTTTATAATTTTTTTCAATTCATTTCTTAGCCTGTTTCCTTTAACTTTAAATAAATTTCATATCTTCACGTTCATTGTACGTTATACTTTTATCTGTCAGGTTTGCAATTTCATCGCGTATTCTTATTTCATCATTTCAAAAATTCCATCTCAATTCAAACATTTCGAAAAAAGTTTCCCCAACGATTATCAATTAGAGTGTGCCACCCTATACAAATTAACAATTAAGCAACTACATAATATACATACCTGAATTAAACCCCAATTAAACCCCAATCTTAAATGTGTGGAAGGAAGACTTTTTTTTTCTCCCTCTGCTTCTTGATGGGTGTTTTTGAGAGGTTCCTGGCTGGGTTGGAGGCTTTTCCCTGACCAAAATTATGAAAGGAGAAAAGTTGGCTTCCCACTTTTAAACGAATAACAGTTCCCTGTTGTACTGGAACTCGGGAAACTAATCAGAACAGAAACAAATAGATTAAGCCAGGATCAGACTGTGCTTATGACCTTGGTCATAAATACGGCTTCTTTCAAAACTGTACTTGAACCATTTGTCAGCACATTTGAATGGTTAACATGTCGAATGTTTCAGTATGAAGAAGATGATGAGATTAAAGAGCTGAAATCCTTGCTGACCCAAAGACTGGAAGAGGCGCTAGACCCCAAGCCCCCAGACACTGGGTAAGCTTTCGGGGGTGCATGGAGGGAGGGGGAGAGAGGGAGGGGGAGGGAGGGAGGGAGATTTGTCCTGGTGACTTTGGTTGAATAGAAATCAAGGTGCCGTATTGGTCAACTCAAGCCCTGATGACCTCATGAACTTACCCCTAGAGTTATTATCTTGGTGAAGATGTAGAAGTGATAGGTTGTCACCTGCTGCTGAGATCATTTTTGGACTCCTTAGTCTTGATTCCCTTTCGTCTCCCATCTCCATGGTAACCAAGGCTAACCCTTCCTTAGCTCCCAAACCCAGAAACAGCCTAAAATAATAAGCCACACTGCGTCGGAAAGTGCTTTGTGCAGGAGAAAAGCAGATTAAATGGCCGTATGTGTGTGTTGTATCGCTTCTCCAAATTTAAGGACTCTTTTAGTTATGGGTTAAGTTATAGGCTTAATTAATGCTCTTGCTAGATCTTATACTTGATGCTGATTTTAACCGTGTTTATTGTGATGTAGGATACTGATGAGTCGATATGAAATGCTTGCATCTACCGCTGGTTCGTTTTTTAACTGTACTGTTTAAGTTATTAAAAGGGACTAATTGTTCTAAAATTTAAAAGACTCTTTCAGTGATAGCGCTCCATTTCTGACTTTCCATATCAGACCAATTGCCTGTCATGTTCATCATTGGCCCTTCCAGTATGAAGATTTGGCATTTTAGGAGAATATTTTTGAATTCTCGAATAGCGTTTTGTGGCCAGCTTATTTTGAAGATACTTATTGGAATCATATTCACCGCCGTCTGCCAAAAATGTCCCTTATAAACTAAGTGGCTTAATAGCCTTTAAGAGATGATAGAGAAAACCAAGAATGTAGTTGGTTGCCAGAAATGTCTGTGAAAGTCAAACCAAGGGCAGAATCAGATGTGCCACCCTGAGTTTTGTGAACAATCTGATGACATCCTGAACATCTTAAAAGCATAACCAGAAATCAGACACCATGTGAAGAGAATTGTGGGCTAGACATGTAAACCCTTAGATCAGGAATCCCCAAACTTGGCAACTTTAAGACCTGTGGACTTCAACTCCCAGGATTCCTCAGCCAGCTATGCATTAACTTTGGGAGTTAATAATAATAATTTATTGTCATTGTACGAATATACACACAGTATATACATACAACAAAATTAACGTGATACTTGGAGGCTAGACCGAACATGCACACACACACATAACAATCCCCAAACATCCACCCACCCACCAAGATTCCCCACCCCCTTAATTAAAACACACAAGTGTGATGACCTGGAGTGTAACACAAACGTAATAAAATCCAAAATGTAAATAAATGCCTTTAATGCCTCCAACTTGGCCCCACTGTTCAATAATTCTCAGTTGGAGATAAAACGTATTCAAAAATGGTCTTCAAAAGTCCGAACTTAATGAGCAGATAGAGGTAAAATAAAAAAACGAAAACAAACTACAATGAAGGAATTTCCACAACGGACCAGGATAAGTAGTTACCAACTTCAGGGAGATAACGAGGCACAGTCTGTTGGAAGGATGCCAACCAAGATAACTTCAGCCCCAAATAAAACACGCTTTGCTTCTGGCAATGCTGTGTTTTAACTGTCTCCCTTATACACTATTCTCCCCAGCTGCAACCAATGATGGGGATCATGGCCATTTCCTCTCTCTTAAGCCAAGTTGTTTCCTTCTCCGTTCCTCCCTGTGTGTACTAGGATAAAGAGGGGATGGGCCTGGTTCTTCCTCTGACTGCCCAGCCAGCCTCTGCCCTTCCCCAGCCTCCTCCACAACCTCCGGAGTCATACCTCCATTCCCTGTCGGCTGTTCCTCCTCTCCCTCAGAATACGACTCTAACTAGAGGATGACACTAGCATCCACACAACAGACCAAGTAATACTGTCCAACAGCTCACTGATGGTGGTCCTTAAGTTCATTGCTAATTGCAATTATAGCTCTGGGATAAAAGTTGTTCGGAAAACGTGGGGTCTGAGTTTTAATTGTTCTGTATCTTCTGCCAGAAGGCAACAGTTTCACAAAGATTGTGAGCAGGATGAGAAGAGTCTCTGAGAATGTTGCGCAACTTCCTCAAACAGCGAGTTGAAGTCCACAAGTCTTAAAGTTGCCAAGTTTGGAGACCTTAGATACTGATTTGGGCGGTGCCTACATTTGGTAAACAAAAGAATAACATTTAAAAATCCCCTTTTCCTGTTGCAGGGACAGCACATCCAACCTGACCTCCAGCGCGCTTCTACCTTCCAGTGTGACACCAGCAGATTTGGATGCCTCTGAAGACCCCGAAAAGGGAGTTGATTCAGAGCTTGATAGGTAGGCTAAACAAATGACCCAGGCAGTCCTCAACCGTATGACCACAACTGAGCCTGAAAATTTACTAAGCCAGGCGGCTGTTAAGTGAGTTAGGCCCCATGTTACAACCTTTTCTGCCACTGTTACGCGAATCACTGCGGCGGTTAAATGAATCATGATTAAGCAAATGCGGCTTCCCTTGTTGGCTTGGCTGATCGGAAGCCAGCTGGGAAGGTCACAACTGGTGTTCATGGGACCTCAGGACAGGTGGTGGCTAACCTTTTTGGACTCTTGGGCCAAAAATCGTATGCGCGCTTGTGTGCCAGCACCCAGAAGGCAATGCGTGCCCCCCCCCATGCCCAATCCCCCTCTTCCGCTGCTCCCTTACCTGCACTGTGCCTCCCAGCTGATCTTTGGCCTGTTTGAGGCCCTTTTCGCCCTCCCAGAGGCTTGATGAAAGCCTCTGCAGCCCGAAAAATAGGCCCATTTCATCACTTCCGGTATTTCCGAAAATACAGGAAGTGATGAAAACGGGCCTATTTGGGGGGCTGCAGAGGCTTTCATCAAGCCTCTGGGAAGCCGAAAATCAGCTCGGAGGCGTGCGCATGTGCATGCACATGCGCAGTGAGGTAAGTTTGCCTGAGGCTCGCATGCCGGCACAAGTGGCTCTACGTGCCACCTGTGGCACGCATGCCATAGGTTCGCTATCATGGGGTGCAACTGTCCTAAATTCAGTCCAGTTGCCAAGTGCTTAAATTTTGGATCACCTGACTAGGGAGATGCTAAAACCAGAAACTTTGGGCTCAACTGTTTTCTTTTTTTTATATATATATATATATATATAAATTTTATTGAATTTACAATTAAAAAATAACATAACAACATTACATATGCAACAGAGAGAGAAAAAGAAGAAAGAAAGAAGGGAAAGAGAGAGGAAAAAAAAAAAAACGCTCGGTCTTGCGACCGAAAAAGGAGAAAAAAGAAGTATAGAAGAAAGAAAAAAAAACAAAGAGACGGAAGAAAAAAGAAAATACGTTAAAACCAGACAGATATCCTTCTTGACAGTCTGCAAGATCCAATTCTCCTACCTTACTTTAAATATACACATCTTATCACTATTTATGCTTAAATTACCCATTATTCATCGAACGGTTTATCTCTGATATAACCAATTATACCACGCATTCCAATTATTATCAAATGCTGAAGACTCTTTATTTTTAAGAGCTATGGTTAAATTGTCCATTTCTGCGCAGTCACATATTTTCTGAATGACCAATTGATCTGTAGGTAAACAGGATGATTTCCAGCACTGGGCAAATGCTAATCTGGCCGCAGTTAGAATATGAATTATTGTTTTCATAAGTCAAGGGCAAAATAGTTGCTGGCTGTCTATGAATTGACTGATCTTCTTTCCCGGATTCCTTCGGCAGCGATGACGACCTCGTCCCTTATGACATGTCACAGGATAAAGAGCTGAAGAAAACCAGAGCTCCCACCTACATCAGGGACTGTTTTGAAAGTAAGAAGAAGAAGAAAGAAATGGAGGGAGGCGCCAGGGTTCTTTCCGGCCTGGTTGACGAGAATGGTTATTTCTGTCCATTACAGGTTTGGGGAAACAGGACTGGTTTACAATTTGCTGGGTTTCTCATCCCCTGAATAAATGAGTTGCATAGCCAGGTCTTGCACTTAAACATAAAGACTGGGCGTCTATGGAGATTCCTGGACTTTTCTGGTTTTTTCTTTGAAGATGTTTCGCTTCTCGTCCCAAAAAGCTTCCTCAGCTCTGACTGGATGGTGGAGAATGCAAGGATTTATATTCCTTGCAGACAACTTGGTCGTTTGCATCCTTTTGGGAGAGTCTTTGAGGCCTCTTGGAGGTTTATCTGCAGCAGTTCCAAGAGGGCTCCACACCCATTTTCACTACTCAGGTGATCCTGAGGACTCCAAGTGGTCTCAAGGACTCTCTAAAAGGATGCAAATGACAAGCTGTCTGCAAGGAGTATAAATCCTTCCATTCCCCACCATCCAGTCAGAGCTGAAGAAGCTTCTTAGATGAGAAGCGAAATGTCTTCAAAGAAAAAACAGGGAGTCCAGTTGCCTCTTGAAAAAAAAAAAACACCTTTGGGATAAAGAGTGGGTGGACCCAGGGCTTTCCAGGTGATGGGCGTCAGTTCCCAGAATTCCCCATCCAGAGTTGGTCAGAATCCAAGCAATTCGAAAGCATTCAAATTAGTTTAATTTACTTTATTGTCATTGTACCTTGTACAATGAAATTAAATACCATCTTCAGTGTACATGATGGCTATGAAAATAAACACAAACACTCATCCTTCACCTTCTATACGGTTGAATTGAAAACCCCTGATATTGCATGCATATTGCACTATACAGTAAAATTCAGTAGAGTTACTGCCCTATTGATTGAGGAAGCTGGACCACGGAAAGGCAGCTCCTTCCCTTGAGTTGTATGGATGTGTCTGTTTATTTATTTACACCAGTGTTTCTCAACCGTAGCAATTCTAAAATTCCGGCTGGCGAATTGTGGGAATTGAAATCCATGTAGTGTAAAGTTGAGAACACTGATGTATACGATCTTCTCATTCCACAGGCTCTTGGCAGCGTAGATCAGGCGTGTCAAACTCACATATCGGGACTTTTTTCTCCCCTTTGGTAAACCCGGGATGGGCGTGGCCAGCATGCGATGCATCTAGCCCACGGACTGTGAGCTTGACACCTCTGGTGTAGATGGTCATCATACGTACTTTGCAATTACAAACAAACACTCGTTTGCCATTTTCCTTCTTGTAAGGCCCTGCCTCTCCTCCTTACTCCCAAAACTAAAAAAACTCTCTTGAAACTTGGTATTTCAAAAGGAACCTTTTATTGAGCAGAAGTGACACCAGAACTCAGAATTCAGACTCTGAATTCCCTCAGGCAATATGGTTAGAATTAAGGCAATAGAGACCCCTCCCTTCAACCCAATGTGGATTCAGCCAATCCTCAAGTGTGAAGATATTATTGCAACGGCTGTCCTGAGAACCAAATAAGCAAGCATTCCCAGGATCATCATCTGCCGGCTTTCAGAGTGGAACAACCCACATGGCCCTCCTCCCTTATACATTCCCCCAAAGGTGAGAAAATCTCAGGGCATTTAGGCGCCAGGATAAAGGTTATAAAACAACAGTTGCCAAAAGTAGAAATAAAGAAATATACTCGATTATATTTCTTTATTTCTTTTCCCCCTTTTCCCAGTTGAATGGCAGTATCACTTTAGGGATATGACACTTCTCTTTGCTGATCTTTAAATTGCAAGCCAGAGGGCGAACTCCGTGTTACAACCATCCTATAAGGACAGTAGGAAGAGAAATAAGAGAAATAAGCCGTTCCTTTTCTTAGTCTGGAATTTGACAGAAGATCCTCTGCATTTTCAAACGGTCCTCTTCCGTTTCTTCAGTTCTGACGGGACCGGAAGATGCCGAAAAATACGAAGCCACTTTGGGTGTCTTGGAAACTCTGATCCGGAGGGACACAGCCACCACTCAAGAGGTAAATGCAGTTTGCGCCTCTTCGCATAGAAGTTTGGATTTGGAAGTTGTCAGCTGGGGTTGTTATGGATTAGGGATTTCCTGTGGGGTAATAGTTATTTTACAGCCATAGTTAATAACACGAAGAGAACCAGTTTGGTGTCATGATTAAGACAGCAGGCTAGGAACTGGGAAGCTGCGAGTTCCAGTTCCACTTTAGGCACAAAACCAGCTGGGTGACCTTTGGCCAGCCACTCTCTCCCACCCCTAGGATGGAAGCAACGGCAAACCACTTCTGATTATCTTGCCAAGAATAGTTCAAAGACTTGTCCTGGCGGGCCTATGAGATACGTTTGAAGAGAAAGAAAAAGAAAATGACAAGAAATAGTACCTATATATAAGTTAAGGCTTAATTAACAACACTCTCTTCATGAAAGCCTTTTCAAGACTCACTTCAGACTGCCTGCTAAACCGTGGCTTAAGAGGGAGAAGCAATGTGTGAAGTGAGTCTCGGGGTGCCAAAAAGGGAATTGGATCACCACCACCACCCATATTACATTAACCATAACGTATTGGTTTGTTCAACCCAGCAAACTAGTCTTATAGGTCATTTAAAACCAGCTGGGTTAAAATGTAGGCTTGAAAATGGACCCAAAAGGAGAAAAGAAGTGAACTCCTTCCTTTGAATTGTGGGAAGGCGCCTGTGTGAAGAATCAACCAGTGGAACAGAAGTTTCCCTCAGAAGTTGTGGAAGCTTCATCCCTGGAAGCTTTCAAGAAGAGACTGGACTGACATCTGTCAGAAATGGTGTAGGGTCTCCTGCTTGGGTGGTGGGGTTGGACTAGATGACCTATAAAGCCCCTTCCAACTCTGTTATCCTGTTAAGTAAGTGGAGTTGCTATTTCCTCAGATTGCAGTGTTAGATTGCAGATTAGATTAGATTCAGCTTTATTGTCATTGCACATGAACACAGGCAACGAAATGCAGTTAGCATCTAACCAGAAGTGTAAAACAGCAATGAAGTATAAACATATAAATACAGATATACAAAATATATAACTATATACAGAATATCTATGAATATACAGAATATATATCTATGGAAGGAATATATACGACTGTACAGAGTGTTTATGAACATATTGAATATAAGTATAATGCACAGAGAGTTTATACAAGATATATATTATCGGGGGAAGTATCAGTGTGTGGGTGGGGGGGATAGACGAGTTGAGGAGTTCAGTAATTGTGTTTGCAGCACGGATCGGTTAATTCACAATGCGTTTCCTTCAAAATGCATTTTAAAAAATCTCTAAGGATAGGAGGCTCATATCTGTCTGGAGGATAAATCATGGTTTATTCACTGTGTCTGTAGTTTTTTTGGGTTTAACCAGAAGAGAGAGGCCAATGGTGCTCTTTTAGAATTTGTGCATGCCCCTTGATGACCAAAAAACTATTACTTTAGGACAGGTTTCTGAATTTGCTTTGTAGAACGTAGGTGAGATAATTCCATTAACATGGAAAGGTGGAGTTGCTGATTCCTCAGATTGCAGCGTCCCCTAGATTCAGCAGGAGGTTGTCATAAAGTTGTCTTCCGCCACCCAGCACTCTATAGCCAGTTCCGGGGCTATGAATTTACCCTGAATTAAATTGAGCGTGTAGGGTAAATTCCATAGTAAATTCGGGATGGCCTCTGGATTGTGTTCTTCTTTGCACAGATGAGCGTGGAACTGGCAAAAGTCTTGCTCCACTTGGAAGAGAAGAGCTACATCGAAGGGTTCGCGGGGCTTCGGCAAGGTGCCTTGGTGGCTGTTACTGTCGCAGACCCCATCCGAGTAAGTCCTTGTGTTGACCATTGGGTGAAAGGATTCAAACTCTTGGAGTTAGCTAAGCAGCTGGGGAAAAGGGTGCAGAATTCTTGGCGCTCTATGGGGGTTGTGGCAGGGGTGGGATTCCACCGGTTTGGGCTGGTTTGGGCAAACTGGTAACTCCAACGATCAGCTGTTGGGCCTGCCCCGGTTGAATCCCACCCCTGGGTTGTGGAAAACTCTGCTACCTTAACTTCACACAAGGAAGTCCAGTTTAGACTCTGGAGGGGTACAGAGTCCCTCTTCCTACATTCCAGAGCAGGAGAAAGTCAGCGCTAGAAGGGCAGGGCTCGTGAGTCCTTCTAGGAAGGAGCAAGGAATTCCAAGTTCTAAGACACAAAGCAACTTTAAGGTTGCCACTGGAATTCTTTGCCCTGCCTACCTTGTCCTGAAAATTAAATAAAAGGAGAATTGAAAAATGCAGAAGCCATGATAAACATCTGAAGAAATGCTCCGTCTCCTTGTTTTTCTAGGTGGCCAAATATTTAACTTCAGAATTCTACTCCCTGAATTACAGTCTGCGTCAGCGGATGGACATCCTGGATGTAGGTGACTCCTGCTTTCAGAAACTGTTTAAGTTAGAGTCATTTCCAATTTCCTGTAAATATATAAAGGGGGATAAAGTTTTGAATGGGAAGATCTGTGCAACAAGAGAATGGTATATCTATGGAGGCGGCGAGTTCTCCAATTCTTGGCGATGGCCAAGAAGAGGCTGATAGCTACCTGCCAGAGATGGTTCAGTTCAGCCTTTCTCAACCGCGGCAGCTTTAAGGTGCTTGTTGTAGCCATCTTTCTACTCCTAGCTTCTGGTTTCTCCATCCAGGTGTTGGCCGTGTCTGCCCAGGAATTGTCTCGACCGGCTTCATCTCCCTCAAAACCAAATGCCAGTCACCCCAGGATCCAAATCATCTCTCATAACTCTTCTTCTCCAGACTGGAAGAAAGTGGTGGAGGAGAGGATTAGAAGCAAGACCCGAAGGTTTGCAAAGGTGGGACAGGAAAATCCACTGAGTGTAACCTTTAACCTCAGCAATCTCTCAAGCGTCTCACAACCACCCAGGTTGAACCACTTGGTCTTTATTCAGCAGGACCGAAGGCCGCCAAAAAAACGGCACTGGAGTCAAACACAACCTATGGGTGGTACTTATTCTTGTACCTAACATCCTGCCTTGTAGAACATTGTACTTCTCTCTACATCCAACTCAATCCCCGCGTGATGAAATGTAGATCTGCAGAAGGACGCGGGGCATCTCAGCAGCTCCACAGTTTCCCAAGGGGAAGATGGCACATTCCAGAGAAAAGCCCAAAATAACAGATTGGATAATCCTGAGCTGAATGGGGGAAGGAGGAAGAGGTTTAGGGTAGCCACACCCTGCAGTTTTTCAGGACCCATCCATTAGGTTAGAAAAGCATAGCTTTAGTCTGGCAAGATTCTGTCTTTTAGTGTAAGCAAATATTGAACTTGATTGGATTTCATTGTGTCGCCTGATGCTGTCTCAGTCATTGTTCCTTTCATTCAGTAAGTGGGCTAGTCAGATGTCCTCGGCCTTAATTCTTCCACGCTAGTGGAATGGTGGGAGCTTATTCAGCACTTCCTGGATGCCAAGTTAGTCAATCTACATCCTGGAATCCAAGTTACTAAGAATCAGGACCCAAAGGATGATGAACAGTGAGAACATTTGATAGAAGTAGGGAAGGAGAAGTGCTGGAGGGTTGGTCCCTGAAGATGTGGTGTGGGGCCTGACCTGGGGGCCACCAGAAAGGACCTTCCTCTTGTGCTGTTTACTGTGTTGTTTTTCTTGGCTGCTACATATTTTTTGTCCTCAGGATCCATGTGTTTTTATTCTGTTTGCTACCACCCAGAGTAAAACGTTAAGATGGGCAGCTTTACAAATGGATTTTTTTAAACAAGAAAAGAAATATGGGTTTTTCAGCCTCTTTCCTGTTTCCCATGCTTATAAGGGCATTGACCGAATACAAAACAATCTCTTGCAAGCAAAGGAACTCTTTTATAGGTCTACGTGGGAAGGGAGAACTCCACATGCCCTATTGTCAAGGTGTCTCTTTCTGCCTGGTATCCAACCCTTATTCTTTGTTTGAAACAGGGCCGGTTCCAAGCAGAACAGTTGGGCACTCCTAACCAGTTTGCTCCAATTGCTGGCCATTTCTTCTTCCCACTTCTTCGGAACTTTGACAGGTGAGGCCACCTCAATCTTCAGGTCCTTTTGGAACAGATTTCCTCTTAGGGATGCAGCTGCTTTAATGAGTTGCAGATCATACGCAATCCAGGAAAGTTCTGCCACTCTTAATGGGCCACAAGCCAGAGCTGTATATGTGTTCTTCTGTTATTCTGAAGCATTGCACAACCCTTGCACATCCTCTACAACACAGGTGTCAAATTCGCCATGATGGCAATGTGACATATCACGACTTTTTTCCCCCGTTGCTAAACTGGGTGTGGGCATGGACAGCATGTGACACATCGGGCTTTGGCCCTGAGTGACAGCCCTGCTCTGCAACAAATTGTGTGATTACCATAGCCTATTACATCAGGGATGGGGAACTACAACCCTTTTATGACTTGTGGACTTCAATTCCCAGAATTCCTGAGCCAGCCATGTTGGTTCGCTCTGGTAGGAATTCTGGTAGTTGAAGTCCAAGAGTCATAAAGGGGTCATAGTTTCCCACCTCTGTATCACCTTGAGCTTCAGATGATTCGAGGTGAACCTCAAGTGGAACTGTTGCCCGGCCCATGGCTTGCTAAGCCGATCAAAACATGTGCTTTCTCTTTGCCTTCCAGGCCTCTGACCACCTTTGACCTTCTGGGGGACGATCACCTGGTCCTAGGACGACTGGTGCACACGTTGGCGATTCTCATGTACTTTGCTCTCCATGCTGCGGTGAGAAGAATGGAGAGCTTTCTCATGGGCTTTGAAAGTGGCCTCTGCTTCCTCTGCCATTGGGGGCATGGGAACCTTCAGAGGGTGGACACAGCTCCTATTGCCTGAAACCAAGGCCTTAGGCAGAATGGACATGGTGTCAGGGTTCCGGCGATTGCCCTAATTAAATGATGAACCTCAGGCCAAGCTTCAAAAGAATTCCAAAGATTTATTAGGAGCAACATGTTGGCATTAACCTCAATGAAGCCAACCCTGGCATACGTAATTTACAGTCACCTGTGACCCTGTTTCCCCTCCCCCCTCTTCCCTGGGTGTATCATAAATCAGATTCTCCAATGAAGCACCTTCACCGGGCTGGGTGTCCTCAATCATGTTCTCCAGTGAAGGATTTTCATGGGCAGAAGATCCGGTAGCCTAGCTACAATCTTTGTAAGATAAGGGTGGAATGTGCTTCTGGTTTTAAACTGCCTACTGCTCCTTCGGATATCCTCCCCCTCCCCTTGTTTATGGTAACTCGAAAACAGGCATAGGAATGTTTTACGAGTTGACACATGGCCCATCTCAGCTTCCTTATGATGAAATAGCAGCCGAACCCTTTCCTTCGTGTTAACGTTATCATTCTTTGGTTTTTCTGCCTGAGGATGTCTCCTATCCCGGACCATCTTGGTTTCCATTACCTGCATCTCCTTGAGGTTCTTCTCTTTTTCCCCTCACTGTATTCTCTTACATGTTTTTTGTCTCTCTCTCTCGGGTAGATAACGCCTGCAATGGGGAAGGCGTTGCTGGAGTTTGTCTGGGCTCTGCGTTTCCACACCGACACGTAAGTTTTTATGAATACCTAAAACTGTGCTTCTCAGGGACTTTTAGGATGGGTGGATGTCAACTCTCAAATTTCCCCAGCTAGCAGAGAGACTGACCTAGGCGAGTTTGAACAGTACAGGAAAAATCCACAGCCTAGAAGAACAAAATGTTTGTTGTAATTTCCTAATTTCCTCTTTTTTTTCTGTTCTTGGATCTCCAATCTCCACTAAAGCTCTGAATGTTCCTTTTTCTCCAGCACAGAAAAGGAATGGCCGTTAAGAGTGGAAAGCCTTTTATATTTTATTTTATTTATAAATAAATAAATAAATTTACAAAAAAAAAAAGAGAGAGAGAGAGTGGAAAGCCTGAAGCCAAGGGAAAAATTTGAAGTCGTTACTGCCTTCCTCTAGTTTTTACAAAAGTCAAAATAACAAAATAACAGTATTGTGCAGGGGGCCTTGGAGGTTTTCTAGTCCAACCCCATGCAGGAAACTCTATACTATTCAAGATGAATAGCTGTCCAATCTCTTGTTAAAAGCCTCCTATGATGGAGTGCCCACAGCTTCTGATGGCAACTCATTCCACAGATAGTTCTCACTCTCGGCAAATTACTCCTTTGTTCTAGGTTGGTTCTCTCCTTGATTAGTTTCCATCCATAGAAGTCAAGAGAACGTAGAGTAGGGTTTTTTGGGGGGATCTCTGTTCCCTTTTTTGTTCTGAATTTTTCACAAGGGTGCATCCCTTAGGAAAGGTGCTTTATTGTAACTTGTGGGCGTTGTAATATTTCCTACTCTATAAGACCAGTTTAAAAAAAAATTGGGATTTCGATCCAGACGTACAAAGCCGGGGTTCTTTAGAATGCAAAATAGACATTCAGGCACTGGGCTGGTATTCTCAGTAGCAAAATAATATGGCCTGTTCTTTGAGACACAGTGGCGTAGTGGTGAGAGTGCAGTACTGCAGGATGCCTCTGCTGCCTGACGTCTGCCTGCAATTTGGCAGTTCGATTCTCACCAGGCTCAAGGTTGACTCAGCCTTCCCTCCTTCCGAGGTGGGTAAAATGAGGACCCAGATTGCTGGGGGAAACAGGCTGACTCTGTAAACCGCTTAGAGAGGGCTGTAAAAGCACTGTGAAGTGGTATATAAGTCTAAGGGCTCTTGCTATTCCTGCATACATTCATCCTTCTGCAGATACGTACGGCATGGCCTCCTGTCTTCAGTCTCCTCCATACTCCTCAGTGTACCTGCTGAGTACCTTCTGGATGACATGACGGAGGAAATTCTAGAGACTCAAGCCTGGCTGGCAGGTGAGAAGAAGCTGGGGAAACGGGGCCATTGGAAAGGAGAAGGTTACAAACGTTTTGTTATCTCCGTTGAAGCTTTAGCTAGGCGCAGCGCATTTTCAGTGCCAACCTGAGACAACTGCTACGGGCGGAGAAATCAGTGTGATCAATGGCCTTGCTAAGCCCAACCAAAGCAGTTGTGTGTGCAAAGGCAGACACAACTAAGGTTGAAACGCTGCAATTTGAATGCACTTCTTAAAAAGTATCTCAGCTAAACCTTTTTCTTAAACAAGGCTGAAAGGAGCTGCCGTTGAAAAGGGAGCTGGAGGCAGCAAAAAGAGAGTTAGCAATTAAACCCCGAGACAGGAAGGAGATCTATCTGGGAAAGGAACATTTTTGCCAGAATTAGAAACTCTGCCACCTGCCAGAAGGTCAGTAGATTCAACCAGCTTGGCTGGTCCAGGAGTTCTGAGGCCATAATACAGGTAGTCTTCGACTTATGACCGCAACGGACCCCCTCCCCCCCCAATGTTTCTGTGGCTAAGTGAGATCGTCATTAGGCAAGCCTTGCCCGTTTTACGACTTTCCTCGCCACCGTTGTTAAGCGAATCTCTGCGGTTGTTAAACGAATCTGGCTTTCCCCGCGGACTTCACTTGTCAGGAGGTCGCAAGAGGGGATCCCATGACACGGCAAGCATCATAAATGTGAATCGGCTGCCAAACGTCCGAATGTAACTCACTTGACCTGCAACGGTCGTAAGTGTGGAAAAAACGGCCATAAGTTCCTTTTTTCCCCGTTCCATTGTAACTTGGAACGGCCACCAATTGGTCGAGGACTATCTGTATGTAGTGGAGAAGATCTCCCTGCAGTGGCTCTGATCAGAGGTGGTATTCAGCCGGTCTGGACCGGTTCTGAAGAACCAGTAGCGGAAATTTTGAGGAATTCGTAAAACCGGCAAATCCCACCTCTGACTGGCCTCACCCCCATCTCTTCTCTGCCTCCCGAGTCCCAGCTGATCGGCTGGATCTTCTTTGGTTGCCCTGCGCAGGAGAACAGAGCTGGAAAGCAGGTTAGGGGGGTGGGGAGGGAATGGGGATTTTGCAGTATATCCTTCCCCCTGCCACGCCCACCAAGCCACACCACACCCATGGAACCGGTAGGAAAAAATTTGGAATCCCATTACTGGCTCTGATCTCACGGAGATGCAAAATAGCTTCTCCTACGGAGCACAGCCGAGGCCTGTTTGCACCAGCCGTCGGTCCTTGCAAGAGGAGCCATTTTGACCCCAAATTGGGCCACCTTTACAATAAACACGGTTGCGATTTCCTGAACCCCCATAGCTGGTGTGTGTGTGTGTGTGGTTTGATGCTGGGCAGAAGCCCGTTTCCTCAGAATGGATAGCGAGTTTGGCACATCCTCCAACTAGGCTGGTTTCTCCTGGCGCTCAAGCTCCGGGAGGGAATGAACGACGGGATCTTCCGCGTGGCCCGAAGGTCACCAAGCATGGGGCCTGGAGGCACCTCTCACTCCTGAAGCAGGGTGAGATGCCAGGAATCGGCAGGAAGCAAGCTGGCTTCCCACGGGGGGGGGGGGGGGAACGGAGAGGAAGTAACGTTTGACAAAGCCGTTCCTTTGATCCCTGCCTCGGGAGCCCATGTCCTGTGCCCTTAAAAGGGAAGAGGCCACCAAGAATCCTCCTTTCCCATGACACGACGGAGAAAGCAGCTTTCCTCCTCCTCTGGGCCGACCTCGCCGAGTCAGCAATCTCAGAGGTCTCCAAACTTGGCATCTCGTGGACTTCAACTCCCAGAAGCATAGCTGGCTGGAGACTTCCGGGAGTTGAAGTCCACAAGTCTTAAAAGTTGCCAAGTTGGGGGAACCCCTTAACTGTCTTCAACTGAACATCGGAACCGAAAGGAACGAGAGTTACATTTTGAGCCAGTCAGGAGTCTGGGCAAAAAAAACACGGGGTGTTCGATGCTCCGGGTGGAAGAGTTTTGTCCTGCGGGGAGTGTAAGATTCATAAATAGGGCCTCCTGCTGTCAGCCATTTGGGAGCCTCTTCAGGGGTGCCCCAGCAGGAGCTGTGGGAACCAGGTGGGAATAGAGAGAGCCGGGGACTTGTCACCCAAATAAAATTCTTTCTCCCGGGAACCAAGGACAATTTCACCAGGCGCTGGGAAGGCGTGGACTGGAACCAACTGGGGTTGAGGCTGTGACCAGATTGGACTGTGTGATGGACACGTGGACCGGGGGGAAAGAACTTTTGACTTTTAATTCGGGTGGGGAAAACCGTGGGACCTCAAATCAAATCAAACGTTTATTGTCAATGCACAAACGTGTACAATGACACTGAAATGAGCCTCCCTTGGTGCAGCCCCCCCCACAACCTCCCCCCCCCACAAAATACACCTGAATAACTCAATAAATGAAAGAAATAGAATCCCTAAACCCAAATAAGTAATAACTAACACACTTTCCCCTATATCTGTATGTATGTAACATTATATTATATTACACTGGTATGAACGTGTTGCTTGTTGCGCTGGCCCTGCAAGTCTATCATATTAAACCTAATTGTGGTGTTTTATGTTGCGTTCAGAAGTCTGTCAGTCCATGGATAAAAGCTATTTTTCAGCCTATTTGTTCGGCTGGCTGTGCTTCTATATCTCCTGCCCGATGGGAAGGAGAGGAAAGAAGTGCTGACCAGGGTGTGATTTCAGACTCAGCTTTTCACCAGATATGCCAATAAACCTGTACTTGGAGGAACACCTGGGCCTCAAAGGTTGGATGGTGTTGGGTCTGTTACCTGGAACCCTGACACCTGCATGAATAGGGGGCGTGGGCTAGAACAACGGTCCCCAATCTTTTGGGGGCCAGGGACTGGTTGAGAGCGTTTTTTTTTCTGAGACAGGAGTGGCACGACCTCGCTTGCATGGCCCAGTTCCTGGGGGTGGGGGCTATGGACCAGTGTTGGTCTGCTGCCTGGGAGTTGGGGACCCCTGGACTAGATGACCTCCAAGGGTCCCTTCCAACTCTGTCATTCTGTTGTACAGCCAAAATGGAAGATGAACATTTTTGCTTGTCGGCGGGGTACCGTAGAACAATGCTACAACTGTTGAACGCTGACGTGTAAAAAAAATAAAAATAAAAGTAAATTTCTCACAGGAACTTCCGGGCTAACAAGAGAAGCGGATGTCAAGGTACATCCCATTCAATAAGGACTCCGAGGCAGGCAAATTCCTCACAGAACGTTTTTATTGGGACATATCAAAATGGCACATTCTTGGTGAAAAACCAGCTCTAAGTTCCCGCCAGTTTTGCACCCGGTTGAAAGTTAAACTTTGTCACTCCCCCCCCCCCCCCCCGGAGTCTCCAGTCACACGGTCCAATCACCATGTCGTCCAGTTGCTAGGTGACCTCAGTCTCCGCCTCTCGAACACCTGCACCAACGTCCTTGATTCCCAGGGGAAATAGTTTTATTTTGGCTACAGCACCCCAGCTATCTCTACACCCCGCCTCCCTGTCCCTTTAGCTCCAGCCCTGTGTCAGCCCTGAAGCAGTGAGAAGAGACACCTCCCTAGAGGGAAGCTATAAAAAAAGGAAAATGGCCACCGTTCAGCCGACTTCAGGGTTGACAGCGGGCAGAAGAGGCAGGAAAATAGAGCAGAGCGAATTTGCCCCTTGGGTTGAGGTCCCTAGCATTGAAAGAAAACCCCAATCGTTTTTGATTTGTTTAGCAGTTTGGCGTAATTTGGGAGCACTTGTGGATGATGGCCTTTCCTGCGCCCTTAGCTCCGGTTTCTCAAAGTCTCCTGCCGCTTTAGCAAGAGAGAGCGCGGGGGCTGTGGGAGTGAGTCATGTACCCAGCTTGACCTGGTGCTGGAGTCGAGTGCTCGACTTAGGCGCACAGGATATCCTCACGCTTTTGGGGACTTTGCTGGTCTCATATCCTGGTTTTCCACGTCGCAAGCGGATCAGGAACAAAGATGCCAGGCTGCACACACACACACACACACACACACACACACACACACAGAGTTGCTCTCCCCGCGCCCTCCAAACCACCTACCAACAGCTGTCTCGGTCCAGAACTCAAGCAGATTAAGATGTGTTTCATGGCGGCTTTTGCATCCTTGTTGGGTGAAGAGTAGAAAGGCACCAATGGTTTTTCTTGGAAGACGTTTCGCTTCTCATCCACGCAGCTTCTTCCGCTCTGAATTTCATGGAGAAGTTGGAGCTGCGCTGATGTTTTTTGGAGAAGCGAAACCGTCTTCGAAGAAAGACCAGAAAAGTCCAGTTGCCTCTTGCAAAAAAGCACCTCCGGGGCAACCATGAACTGGATGGCTTGAGAATCTCCATAGACGTCGGTCATTTTGATTTCTCTTAGGTTTTCTGCATAGCATTCAAAGCACCCATTTGGGGGGCAAGCTTTGGCTGCCTTAGATACGGCCTGTAACCCAACTTTGAGAGAGAGGGCAGGCCATCATCCTCTTGTAGCGATGAAGTGAAGTGGGGAGGACATCTCATAGGCAAGGGCTGAACTAAGAGTTTAACCTGAAAAGGGGGGTTTGTTGTGGTTGTATTTGTTTAAAGTTTTGGGGATTACACTGTTAAATTTCCCCTGTGCTTCCTCCCTCAAAGTTGCAGAAAACTCTCCTAGTTTTCAACCGTTACAATTGTGGGGAAGGGGCCGTGGGAACTCCGTTCCCCATATTTTGATCTCTGGGGGCGGGGGCTGAAGAAAAGGATTGGATTCATTGCTGTATAATAAGTGGGGGTTGGTTCTTTTTTTTTGTATTTTGGACCATTTATGTCCAAAAGGACTGTTTATGCACCATCATACAAAGGAGTGCATATCTCTTCATAGCTGAAGAAGCTTTGCTGAGGCCAATCAGAATAACAGAATAACTGGAGTTGGAAGGGACCTTGGAGGTCTTCTAGTCCAACCCCCTGCTCAAACAGAAGATCCTATCCCATTTCAATTGGCTGTCCAAGGTTGGGGAAGGCTGTGTTGAGTTTCTTATTGCAGACTTGGTGTCCATTTTAAAAAAGGGCACCTCTGGGAGATCAAGAGTAGAAGTTCACCCTTCACCTCTTGGATGTCTTCCAAGAGAATCTCGGAGGGAGACGGCAAGCAAGAAATAGGAAATATAAATAAATGCGTCTTCATTGGAAGGATGCCCAAATCCCTTATAACGACTAATATTTTGCAGAAAAAGGTATTTAATGGGGGAACCAACAATAAGAAGTTACTTATATTTCCGATGAAAATCATGTTTATGAGAACCAGAACATCCTCAATATTTACTCAGCCACGTGGCCAGGGAAAATACAGGTAGTCCTTGACTTACAACAGTTCATTTGTTGTAATGTTCATTTAATGACCGCTGAAAGTTACAGCGGCACTGAAAAATGTGACTTGTGGCCGTTTTTCACACTTACGATCTTTCCAGCGTCCCCATGACCATGTCAAAATCCAGAGGCTTGGCAATGAGTCCATATTATGACCATTGCTGTGTCCCTGGGGTCATGTGATCACCTCTTGTGACCTTCTGACAAGCAAATCCAATGGATTCACTTAATGACGGGGTTTCTAACATTGCCTTGATTCACTTCACAACTGTGGCAAGAAAGGCCGTAAAATGGGACAGAACTCACTTAACTGATGTCCCACTTAACAGCGGAAATGTTGGGCTCTCTTGTGGTCGTAAGTCAAGGACTATCTGTGGTGTAAAAAATAGAATTATTTTTTTTTTTGATCTCACTGCCAAGAAAGTTAACGATTGTAAGGGGAAGAACACAACGCCATAAAAGTTGCTAAATAAAATGCACTCAAACTCAGAATACCCTTTTCGTATCCAGCTTCACTTCCGTTTATTGTTCCTCCGCTTGACAGTTCGACTAATGCTTCACAGGAATTTCCTCAAGTCGGTTTTTCTCTCTTCTCTTCTCTGTCTCTTCCTTTTTTTTTTTTAAATAGATGTCGCCGAGAAGGACCCAGATGGGGACTGCAGAAATTTAGCGATGCAGAATCTGCTCCTGATGGAAAACTTGAAGAAAAAAAAGCTTGAAACGGCTCCTCTGGCGTTATAAGACCGCTTGCTCCTAAAGATACTCTCTAAAAAGCCAGGTGGCTGCAAATGTCCCCAGGCCTTTACGAGAAAGGAACAAAAGAGCACGGAGCTGGAAAGGAGAGAGATCTGGGCTCCGTGTGGCACTTACAACCTGTTGTGGCTAACCGACATGTAAATTTGGTCCTAGTTATTTAATGGTCTTGGCCAATTTACTGAAAGTCCAAAGCAAAGTTTTAGAACTGCAGGACATTTTTCCAGAGGGGGGAAATCCCCCCCCCACATTTGCTCCAAGTACAAATTGAATGATGCCCATCCTCTGGGTGTTGAAGTAGGGTGAGCTGGACTGTGTATTTTCCCCAAGCCAAATAAAGGTGGAAAAACTTTATTAAAAGCCGTGTTGAGCTAGGACAGGCTCAATTTTCCTAAAGGGTCCGTTTTCTACAAAGGGTTCTTGTGGCCAAAGAAAGTGGATCCTTTTGACAAATACCGTATAAGGGGATCTTTTCTTAACAGGAAAGCCTAATTTTAGGACATGCGTTCAATTTCGCAGCTACTCAGATTGTTGGCTGAGCAGGTACAAAAATGTCCAGGGAAATGACTTGATGCCTGCAAAACAGTCAACAGGAATGCTGATTTAATACCGGTTTACCGAGGAGCCAAGGACTTGGCAGCCCAAGGAAACAACAGCCAATAGCCGGCCATCAACACCCCAATCAACCAATAAGAAGCCACATCTAACCAGGCATCACATAAGTACTACACATAAAGCACACATTCCGATGAGAGAGAAGTTCCCTTAGGATGGGCTTTAGCATGAGTGCAAAAGCTCGGTCGACTAAATCTCTGGTCCCAGTGGGCCGATCCAGACTGGAGCCTTTTAAGATGGCCTGGAATTTAGTTTACGCCTGCTAGTTTGTACTACTATTCTGCCATCCCCAACCTCTTGCTCTTCAGACTTAAGGCCGCACAAAAAGACACAAGCGAGTTGTGTATCTAAAATATTTAATTACAAATAGGAAGATCTCTTCAGAACCGTCTCGGGAGTATTTGAAAAAGGGAGGTGAAAACCTGTGGCTTTGGGAATGCCGAACACCTCCCAGATTCCAAGGATCGACTGGATCACAAGGATTACAACAGAGCAAGGCGGAGTCCGTTTTGTCTTTCTCCTAACCACGCCCGGAACACGGCGCTCTGCCCCCGCACCAGTCCCCGCTGAGCTGTTCAGGAGGGCTCGGCCTCGTCGGCCACTTCTTCGATCTCCTTGTCCTCCACGCTGTTGTGGCGAAGCCTCTCTGGAGCAGCGTTTCGGCCAAGGGGGATGCCCAGCCCTCTGTGCACGGCCTCGACCGTCTGCTGGTTCACATAGTAGTTGAGATTCACGCAGGGGATTTTCTTCCGCATGTCTTCCAGGTACCGGTAGGCCTGATTGAAAAAGGAGGGATCGTGTTCAGAGGCTGTTCTGCCACCATCCGAGGCCAACCCAGAAAGCTTAAAGAAGCCGGAGAGGCCTCGGCCAACTTACTTTGCACTCTGGATTAATACAGTGGCCCCCAACCTTTCGGACACCAGGGACCGGTTCCACGGAGAACGTTTTTTTTCTGCGGACCGGAGGAGGCGTGGTTTTGCACGCTGCCTCCATCCCGCGGAGGGGGCTTCGCTTGTTTGCACGGACCGGTTACTGGCATGCTGTGGCTCGCTGCCAGTCCACGGACCAGAGGTTGGAGACCCCTGGATTAATGCATACAGGCAGTCCTTGGTTTACAATCATTTGTTGAGCGACCGAAGTTACAACAGCACTGAAAATAGTGACTTACGACTGTTGGTCACACTTAGGACACTGCAGCATCCCCAGGGTGACGTGATCAAAGTTTGGATGCGTGGCAACTGGCTCTTATTTATGACGGTTGCCATGTCCCGGGGTTACACAATCCCCTTTGCCGAGTGACCTTCTGACGGGCAAAGTCAACAGGGAAGCCAGGTTCTTTTCACAGCTGTGTTACTACTAACTTAACAACTGCAGTGATTTGCGTAACAGGTGCAGCAAGAAAGGTCCTAAAACGGGGCAAAATTCACTTAAAGGCTGTCTTGCCTAGCCACAGGGCTCAAATGTGGTCGTAGGTGGAGGACTACCTCTCGTGCGTTTAAGCTGAGAAGAGAACCAATTTCTCTTGTCAACAACAGAGCTCGCAGAAAGAAGACGTGGAGCTAAGCCATGGTTTGTAGAGCAATCAGCAATCACCTGGCTTCACACAACAGGCTAATAATCCATAAATCGGTTTCCAACCCAACCTGTGGAATTGGGGTTGTTTTTTTTTTTAAAGTTAAACATCCATGTTCATTTGCAATTAGCACAACTCCATCAAGCAATTTCTCCACAACCTAGAGGCCTTTGTCATGAAGGCGTACGCAAGAACAATCACACAAGCCTTGGTGCAACCTTAATCCATGATCCAGGACAGCCATGGGAATGGGAAAGAGGCGGACCTCGCTGCGCTGGTCTTTTCTACAATTTCTTCCAACTCTCATTCCCAACAAAATAAGGCACACAGCCGTACGCTGAATCTGCTGCGTATTTTAACGCTGTCTCTTCTCCGCTGAAACGCTAGAGAGCACCTGGGGGTTTGAGAAGAGCAGTTCCTTTTGGCCTGGTAATTCTGGCTTCCCTGTTTGAAAGTGGGCCATGCGGACGCTTCCTGCTGGAAGCGTGTGAATCATCTCTTCTCCAGATGGCCCTACATAATTGTTTCCTCTGACTTCCTCTGTCCTAGTCCATCCAGGTGGGGGAGAAGAGGTACCACAATACTGTAGCACAGCGAGGCCTGAATTGATTGTATTTATACACCTCTCCCCAGGTCCTGTCACCAAAGACTGACAGTTATTCAGGATGGACAAGAGACGTGGGGATTCAGAATTTTTTTTAAAAAAAATCTGCAAAAGGCAAATAGGAGAATCTCTTGCATGGTATCTCGAATCTCCCTACTTTTACATAGAGGAAATTAGAAGTACAGGTTGCTTAGTGACTAAAGTTACAATGGATCCTGAAAAAAGCTACTTACGATCCAGATTTAAACTTCTGGTGTCCGTCACAGTGGTGGGATTCCAAAATTTTTACTACCGGTTCTGTGGGTGTGGCTTGATGGGTGTGGCAGGGGAAGGATACTGTAAAATCTCCAGTCAGAGGTGGGATTTGCCGGTTCTCCGAACTACTCAAAATTTCCGCTACCGGTTCTCCAGAACTGGTCAGAACCTGCTGAATATCCATCTCTGGTCCGTCACCTCTCCAATCACCTGACTGTATTTTGAGTGTTCAGCAACTGGTCCACGTTAAGAGTTCCCAGCACCCCATAGTCACCACCGATTTATGACATTTTTCCTTTACACCATGGAGCAAAAAATGACCCATAGCAAACAAGGGGGCTCGCTTAACGACTGCCATGAAAGTCATAAAATTGGGCCTGATCAGGCGGCTACCTGTTTTATGACACCCGCAACTTAACGATGGGTCAATTATGGTCCTAATTCAAGGGCTACCTATAATAGCAGTATATACTTTTTTTTAAAAAAAATGATTGAATAAACATTAAAACAATTGGACACAGTACAACTTTCTGGCAGTTATTTTGCCACACATCCTATAACATAAAAACGGCATATACTTTCCGAGCACTCAAAATTTCAGGCGAATCACTAAAACGTACTGTCCAAACCAACGCCAGGCATAAACAGGAAAATGAAGAATAATCTAGGAATGTTTACATTTTTTAACATAGAGAAGCATTTAATTATCCTCCCGCCAGCATCTGCAGCCGTACAGTTCCATAGCAACGAACAGGGCTGTGGTTCAGTGGTGGGATTCAATTTTTTTTTTAACTACTGGTTCTGTGGGTGTGGCTTGGTGGGCGTGGCAGGGGAAGGATACCGCAAAATCCCCCTTCCCTCCCCACCCCACTTAACCTGCTTTCCAGCTCCATTCTCCTGTGCAGGGCAACCCAAGGAGACCCAGCCAATCAGCTGGGACTCAATGGGAGGCAGAGAAGAGATGGGGTTGGCGGGGCCAGTCAGAGGTGGGATTTACTGGTTCTCCAAACTACTTAAAACTTCCGCCACCGGTTCTCCAGAACTGGTCAGAACCGGCTGAATGCCACCTCTGCTGTGGGCGCTGCTGAATAAGAATCATTGAAGTGGCTTATGGGCCCTGGAGATGCTCACCATCTGGAATTCTTGCATCTGCAAATGATGCTCCACCAGGAATCCCAGAACGTCCCCCAGGCGGATGGTGGTGTCCAGATCCGGTTCTCCCAGGAGCAGTTCGCACTGCCTGATGGCCTCTTTGGGATCCTCGGAGTAAAGCCTGAGAGGGGGAAAAAAACACATAGCAGGAACAAAGAGGATTGGGGGATTGGAGGCTAAAACATACAAAAGAATGTTTGCTGGAATTGGGTATGTCTAGTTTAATGAAAGGAAGGACCAGGGGTGACATGATAGCAGTCTTCCAGTCTCTCAGGGGTTGCCCCAAAGAAGAGAGAGTCAAGCTATTCTCCAAAGCACCTGAGGACAGGATGAGAAGCAACGGGTGGAAACTAATCAAGGAGAGAAGCAACCTAGAACTAAGGAGAAATTTCCTGGCAGTGAGAACAATTAACCAGTGGAACAACTTGCCCTCCAGAAGTTGTGGGGTTGCTCCATCATTGGAGATTTTTAAGATTGTGACCTTCAGCTGAGGACTCCCTGTACTATAAAGCAGCGTTGGGGGCTGGGGGATTCTGGGAGTCGAAGTCCACCCATCTTAAAGATGCCACGGTTGAGGAAACGTTGCTGTAAAGAACTCAGGGGGCTCCTCCTCCTCACCTCCGGGCTTGAATAAACCTCTTCACCAGGGTCATCTTGCTCTGCAAGTGCGCCAGCTTGTTCTCCTGGTCAACTGGGCTCCGCGTCTTTGCCTTGGACATGCACTTGTACGCCTCGGTCAGGGCTCCCAGGGCCTTCTCGTAGTTCTGGAATTCATCCACCTCCACCTGCAAGGAAGGAAAGAGGAGCGGTTGCTTCTTCTGCTTCTCTTGGGGACCGGTTGCCGTTCTGCTAAGCGAAGCGTCGCAAGCTGGCAGCCTGACATCAGTAATGGGGGCGGGGGTGGAGGGAGCAATGTGGAGGGGGAGAGAATGTAGGGAGAGAACTCAAGAGGAATTAAAACGAAGCAGCACTGTCCCATGGGAAGCACCAGCCACCTAAAGGTCATTACGATGATCCAAAGGGGCGTGGCACAAAGACAACACAGTCACATAATTAAGAAGAGTCCCTTTAGTACCTCCAACTTGGCCCTCAATGTCCAGGTTACCTTCCGTTGAAGAAAAAAAACTCTCCCAGAACAGCCTTTGAGTGGAGGAAATTCAGTCCAAAAACAAAGTACATACAAACTGTAACTAAAAATCCACACAAACCAAGCTGAAGGAATTAACTTGACAGGGCAGGAGAAGGAATTGCAGACTTGAAAGCGCAGCAAAACACACAACAGTTGGGAAGACGCCAGGAACCCAGAGAAGCCTTGACAAACAAAGGAAACTCTACGATTTGCTTCCAACAAGTGGCTGTGCGCAAACTCCTCCCCCCCCCCTTTTTTAATAAAATTTTTATTGGTTTTTAAAACAAACATAAACAAACAAAACATAAAAACATGAGGCCATCTTCCATATATCTTCCATACAGTGTGCCGGTTGGTTTACAAATTGTTTTGTGCTTCCATTTCGTAGTCTTTAATTACAATTACATTGTATATGATCTCATATTTTCAATCCAATATTAAATACGTTGGTATCATTTGACTATACTTTTATTCATTCATGCTTTGGAACACAAACTCCCTTTTTAAACATTGTGTTCCCAGCTGCAGTTAATGAAGGGAATCAGGGCCCTTTCCTTCCCCATAAGCCATGCAACCCACGTTGCTCTCTCCTCCGTTCCTCCCTGGGTGCCCTAGGATGAAGAGGGGGTGGGCCTGGGTCTTCTTCCGAATTCCCTCTCCCTTGCTCTACCTCTCCCCTGCTCGGCCCAGCCGGACTTTGCCCTTCCCCAGTTTCCTCCACAGCCAATGGAGCCACACTCCCACTCCCTGTCAGCTGCTCAGCCTCTGAATCAGATCCTGACAGGGGCATGGCAGTCACACCAAAAGAATACAGAGCCAGCAAGCAAGCGTGAAGATGGACCATTTCCTAAATATTTTGTTAACACCTGATTGGACAATGACTGATAAGCTGGGGTTTGGCCCAGAACAAGGGAAAGTTAACTATATCTTTTGCGCGCGAAAATCTCAGATCCAGCTTTGCCTCTTTGGTAACCACCATGGCTTTAGTAAAGCATCCTTTTGGCTAATCGTGGGCCAGGAGTCTTTCTTCCCTAACTGACCCAAGTTGGGATGGTTGGCATGGAGGATCTGAGGTAGGATCTCACCCACCTGAGCACATGCGTCATAAAAGCCAGCCAAGAGGTCCAGAGCCCTTCCTTTGGTGTAGAAGCTGATGATGTTCTTCATGATCTCTGGATCTTTGCGACAGTCCAGAGTTTGCAGATAATTGGCAGCCATGATGTAAATCTCCCTTTGTCTCGAGACGCCAGCAAAGAACACAATCTTTTCGGTATCGCCGGATTTCAGCAGAGCCCTCATGGCCTACACAACGAAAGGGGTAGAGGGGCATCAAATCCAATCTTCATTACGGTCACAGACCAGTATAAGGGGGTTAGAATTGAGGCCGCTTGTTTTTCAGGAAGCGCGAGCAAGAAGGTAGGATGCAAAGACCTAAAGAGATACTCAGTGTTTCAGTTACGTTTATAAGATGCTACATCTTTCAACCCCTATAAAGCACTTCGTTTAAAGCAAAGTTTATTAAAGAGCCCATATGGCTCTGATACTGTTCAAAAAGTCAAAATCAAACACGATATAGCTTGAGTATGAACGACTAATGAGTGGAACGGCTCGCCTTCAGAAGTTGGGGGCTCTCCATCACTGGAGGTTTTAAGAAGAGATTGGACAGCCAATTGAAATGGTATGGGGTCTCCTGTTTGAGCAGAGGTTGGACTAGAACAGGGGCCACCAACCTTTTGGACCTCAGGGACCACCAAACTCATAATTTTAAATCCCGCGGACCGCTAATATGCATTTTGACTGATGGTGGCTTGCTGACGTTTGTTGAGAAAGTTGGACCCATATTCCAGAGCTGCAGCAGTCACAGGACTGGCCCTTCAGTCATCCTGGAGTAGCTACTCCTCCACCTGGGTGCACCGGCCTCCCATGGACTGGAGGAGCTGCTCCGGGATGACCAAAGGGCCACTCCTGTGACTCCAGCAGCTCTGGAATATGGGACCGACTTTCCCACCAATGTCAGCAAGCCACCCCGGGGCGGATTTCCCTTCCCCGCCATTGGTCTTACCTTCCAGTTCCAGCTCGCGTGGCTCTACTCAAGGTAAGGTTTGCACTCGGCCAAAGGGTGGGGGCGCCAGAGGTTAGGTGGGGCGTGTGGGCGGCGCAGCCTTGTGTTCAAGGATTAATTGTTTTTTTGGGGGGGGACATTGCGCACACCAAAATTTTCCGTCCCGCTGGTTGGTGATCACTAGACTAGAAGACCTCTAACGTCCCTTCTTACTCTGTTATTCTGATGACAACATCTATCCAATACAGACTCCAAGCAGGGGCTTCTTTAGGTCATGTTCTGTCATGACAGTTGAACTGGGTCTAACAATTGAATACCCATATATCGATATCCTGCAGACAGCTCAATTGTGGTCGTAGGTCGAGGACTGTTAAAGGAGCTGAGGGTCTCCTTTCTCCCACCTTCTTACCTTCAGCTTGTTTCCTGCTTGGGTATATTTCTTGGTGGCCATGTGGTAATTGCCCTGCCTCATGCAGCAGTCGGCGATCTGCTCCAGGAGCTCCCGCCGGGAATCCTCTGAGAGTTCCTTGGAGTCCTTTGAAATGGTCATCTTCTCCGCCATCTCTTCAGTGATGGTCAGGTTCTGCATCAGGCAAAGCTGCAGGGCATCCTGGTACTGGGACACAGAGAGAAGGGTGGTAAGAGCCAACTCAGCTAAAACATCTGGTAGGAGGAGAGAATCAAGTTACGCCATGTAGGACATGACCAGGCTGAGCCTGAAGGAGGAGTCAAACACGTCATCAGTCACGAATCCCTGAGCGCCCGCAAAAGTTCCGAGTCCAGCCCACCTTGAATGCCTTTCTTATATCCCACTCATTTCCCTTGACCGCTAGTTGGTCAGCTTCTTGTAGAGCAGGGGTCACCAACCTTTCGTACCTCGGGGACCATTCACTCATAATTTTAAATCCCACAGACCACTAATATGATCTGCCTGATGACCGGCTGTTGTAGAGAACCTAAGCTTGTAATAAATTTATATACATTTGAACTGCCTGAATCCCCTGATGTCCCGGGCGCTTCACACCCAGCTTGGTAAGACCTCCAGCAAGAGAAGGACACCTTAATATGCTCACCAACTTCAATGGCAAGCTTATTTGGTGTAAGCCACCGCTGAAAAGTTGGCGATTTCTAGCACCACCTTGCAGGTTGAGACATGACTGAAAGAAGACTCCGCATCTTTAATCGGTGTAGGATTTTTGGCATGAAGTAACAAAACTGGCATAGGAAAGGGACCAGAAGACCGAAAGAAACAAGGTGTAAAAAAAAAACCAGAAACCCCATTCTTGGTTGACTTTAGACTTTGAATTTCAGACATATGTTTCCATATCTATCTATATCTATATATCTATACCTATCTATATCTCTATCATATCTCTATCTATCTCTATCTAATAATTATATCTCTATCTATATATCTATACCTATCTATATCTCTTATTATATCTATCTCATCTATCTATATCTATATCTGTCTATATCTAATATCTCTAATATCTCTATCTAAAATATCTCTAATATCTCTCTCTCTCTCTCTCTCTCTCTCTCTATCTATCCATCTATCTTATCTATCCATCTGTCTATCCATCTCTCTCTCTCTCTCTCTCTCTCTCTCTCTCTCTCTCTCTCATGTATATCTAATCTATATCTATCCATCCATCTATCCATCCATCTATCCATCCATCTATCTACATTACCTTTTTGGCAGCTAGCAGCAGCTTCACGGCCTTCTCATACTGAGAATGCTTGATGAAGAAATCGGAGCAGCGAGCCAGGAGGGTTGGGTCAGACTTCTCATCCAGATCTTCTGCAACCAGTTGCAAGGCTGCAAATTGCTCGGTGGCGAAGGCCAGCTCCAGAGCCTTGGACAAGTGCCCAGCCTGTCAAGCCAAAAAAAAAAGAGAGAGAGAGAGAGATTTTGAGTTTCTAGCAGCCTCTTATCTTCCTCGAGAAAGTTTCTTCATGGCGATGCGGGATTTGTTTTAGCTTCAATCACTGCTATGTCCAGTTCTGGTCACCATGAGAGCCAAAAAAAAAAAAAAAGAAGATGTTGAGATTCTAGAAAAGAATGCTGAGAAGAGCAACAAGGACCATTAAGGGACTGGAGGCTAAACCCGATGATTAACGGTTGCTGGAATTGGATGCGTCCTGTCTAACTAAGAGAAGGACTTGCGTTGACATGGTAAGAGCCTTCCAATAGTTGAGGGCTGTTGCAGAGAACAGGGGGGTCAACCTATCCTTCAAAGCACCTGAAGGCAGAACAAGAAGCCATGGGTGGAAGCTAATCATGGAGAGAAGCAACCTAGAAATAAGAATAAATTTCCTGATGGTTGGAACAGTTATTTAGTGGAATGGCTTGCCTCCACAAGTTGCGGAAGCTCCAACACTGGAGGTTTTTAAGAAGAGATTGGACAGCTATTTGTCTGAAATGGTATAGGGTCTCCTGCTCAAGCAAGGGGGGGTTGGACTAGAAGACCTCCAAGGTCCCTTCCAACTCTCTTATATTCTATACTCTGCATCCACCCGGGGGTGAAGGAATACCTTGTGGTAGAGCGTCACGGCTTGGTCCATTTGTTCTCCTCTTCCTTCATAGTAGCGGGCAGCCTCTATCATATCTTCTGGGGAACTGAGAAGAGCCAGGTTCATTAACTGGTCGTCCAGCTGGTTTTCCTGGTTTTAAGCAAACAAACAAATCTACTTTCAGTTTTTCCATGGTTAAAAGGCTCTTTCCAGTGTTTTTCTTCTAAAACTGCAACTGTGCTGACGATCTTACTTCAGCTTTCCTTTGCTTTACAGACCTGCAAAGGTCCTACATGGGAGGAATGTCACTCTTTCATCACTGTCCTAACAGTTGCTTAAGAAGCTCGTTGCTAAGTGAGGACCGACTGTAATTTGAGAGTCAGGTGATAAAAGGTCCCGTCCCTTTTCTAGACACCTCGTCACCCTGGCAGAACTCGGGGCTGTAATTTGTCAAAATTTGACAAAAGGAACACGATCCTGTGGCCACCAGCCCAGCTGTTGTGTTTGGTCCTGGTGGCGTCTTCTCAGGACATCTGCTCTGCTGGGCTATGGGCTCAGAAGGGTCTTCAGCCTCATCCGGCGGGTGGAAACCTCTCACCTTTTGATGGAGATTGCTAAGTCGCTACTCCCAGCACAACTCAGAAAGTCTACAATAGTAACCTCGGCAGCTCGGGGATCATTGTGTTGCGGGCCGCCAGAGGCAGTGGAGCTGGTGGCAGACTTGGAGAGTTTGGGGAGGAACATGGGGCAGTCCTGGAGTCTGGGGAAGGCTCTGACGAGGGCTCTGGGTCGGAGGCAGAGATGGGGACAGGGCCATCCAACAGTTATCAGCTGCTTTCGGATTTGGACGTCAGTGAGGCAGAAGAACAGCTGGAGCCTGTTCCCAGTATGCGCATGCACAGAGCTGCCAGAAGAAGGGAACACTTAAGGAACAAGTGTCAACTTGGGAGTAAAGGCTCAGGTGGCTGGTGAATGGCCTCTCCCATACGAAATAAAGAGGAACGAAAGAGTGGTGGTGTTTGCAGGAGACAATTAGTTCCTTTAATGAGTGTGAAGATTTGTTTGTGACTCTCAGAGACTCCTTGCCAAGTATTTCTCGCACAGCATTGCGCTTGGAAGCTATCAGTCTGGCAGCTCTCCAAGCCTGATAAGGTCTGTGGTTGCAATTCCTCTTGAAAGATGGTTTGCCGGGACTTTGCTGGATGTGAAGGAGAGGAATTCACATTAGCCTAATCAAAAGGGGGGTTGTCGGGACGAGGAGCCTGCTTCGTGATTTTGTGAAGCCGAGGTCAGAACACGTTGCAAGTTGCCCGTACCTTACACAAACGGATGGCGTTATTAAACGCTTGAGCCCGGGTGTAGAAGTGCACCGCCTGCTTGATGTCCTCGCGGCTGTCATACTGACGGGCAACGTGATAAGAAGCTGCCCAGTTGCCTGTTGCGTTTGCTATTTCGGCAGCCTGAAGCAAAAAGAGAGACAAAAGCCAGTGCTTTCTCCACTTGGAACCACACACTGGCACCTCTGAGGGAACAACTATGGAGAGTCTCCGTCATCCAGGTCATAGCTGTCCCAAAAGTGCTTTTTTGTTGTTGTTGTTTTTTGTTTTTGTTTTAATTTCTTTTTCTTTTTTTAAATAAACTGGACTTTCTTGGTTTTTTCCCCCTTGAAGACATTTCACCTCTCATCCAAGAAGCTTCTTCAGAACTGAAGAAAGCTTCTTGGATGAGAAGCGAAACGTTTTCAAGGAAAACCCAAGAAAGTCCAGTTGCCTCTGGAAAAAGCACTTTTGGGACTCTGAAAGAGTAGATGGGATCGACTATTTTCCAGGGATCAAGGGATCAAGCTATTCTCCAAAGGACCCAAAGGCCAGACAAGGAATAATGGATGGAAACTGAACAAGGAGAGATTCAACCTGGAAATAAGGAGAAACTTTCTGACCGTGAGAACAATGGGACAGCTTTTCTTCAGAAGTTGTGGGAGCTTCATCCCTGGAGGCTTTCAAGAAGAGACTGAACTGCCATCTGTCAGAAAGGGTGTAGGGTCTCCTGCTTGGGCAGAGGGGCTTGGACTAGATGACCTACAGTACAAGATGCCTTCAAACTCTGTTAATCTGTTAAAAGAAAGCAAACTTACCTTCTGGATGTTACCCAGGAAGCAATGGATACGGACCATGGAAAAATAATCCTGAGCCAGCTCATAATATTTGAAAGCTGCTTCTAAGTCGGCCTGGCCTTCTAGATATTGAGCCCACCATTTCCATAAACCTCTGGAGGAGGAAAAACAAAGGGTGGGAGAGAGGGTGGATATCAATCGATCGATCAATCAATCAGAATCCAGATGGATGACCTCTCCGCAAAGTGTTGAGCTATTCATAGAGAGCAAATCTGGCATTTGGGGAGGAAAGACACGGGTTTAGCAGTTCTAGCTCAACCTCCAGGCAAACCCAGGAAATCCTTGACTTACAGATGTTCATTTAGTGACCAAAGTTACATGGAAAAAGAGGACTTTGCCCCCCCCCCCCCAGTTTTTCACACTTAACAACCATTGCAGCATCCCCATGGTCACCAAAAACTTGGACGCTCAGCAATCGGGTGATATTTATGGCTGCAGTGGCCCAAGGACCACATAATCCCCTTCGTCGACCTTCTGAGAGCAAAGCCGGATTCCCTTAACTGCCGTAGTGCAAATTGAACCATCGCAGCGATCCGCTTAACAACGGTGGCCAGAAAGGTGGTAGAAGGGGACAGAAGTCACTTGACGGCTGGTCTCACTTATCCACAGAAAGTCTGGGCTCAATAACGGTGGCCGTAATGTCGAGGATGACCCCGTTAGCAGCAGAGTCAGCTTCTCAAAGAGGATTGGCCAGGCTGACACTCACTTATCTTTCATCCTGTTGACGTAGGACTCCAAGGCCTGCAAATCCTCTGAAAGCATGCGAGGCACTTCAAACTTATGGGTGTCAGACTTCTCATAGCTGTGCGGAAAGAAAAACGGGGTCAGAAAGCCAGGACGACGGGAGGTTAAAAAAAAGCCCAGCTGTTTAGTTTCGTTTCAGGACGAGTATTTACAATGAATGGAGAGTATTTACAGTGAAGGGAAGCTGTTTACAATTCAACCTCCTTGGACTTGTGAGATCTCACACGATCAGCTAGCATTCATCATACATACAAGCACTTTAGCGGTTAAACTGACAGCCAACCCCATTCCTTATTGCCACTGATGGTGTTCCCTAGTGGGTAATGAAACATCTGCAAGGAAACAACCTAGCTCAGAAAGCACCAAGGACCCCAACAATTCTCCTCTTCCTCCTCTATTTCCAACTGGTCCCTGTTCACCCTCCATTCCCAAGAGAGCCACATATTTCTTGTGCTTCAGTCTCCCAAATTAGATTTGATGGATTGAGACCCAACCGTTGAATCCCAAACCAGAGGGGTGAATAACAGAGCGGGATTTATTCTGGAGGATCTATCGTATTTTTCGATGAGGTTACCTAGTTTGGGTAATGAAACGTCTGCAAGGAAGCAACCAAACTCAGAGAGCACCAAGGATCCCCACAGTTCTCTTCCTCAACCTCCTTCTCCTTCCTCTTCTTTGCAAACCCCACCCCCTTCTAGCACTGATGATGTTACCTAGTTGGGTGATGAAACGTCTGCAAGAACGCCACCGGGCTCAGAGAGCACCAAGGACTCCCTTACTCCAGAATGAGTCTGATTGAATCGTAAGTCGGATCTGGATAAGCTCTGGCACATGGCAGCCTGCAAACACTTACTAGGTGATGGCAAAGTTGCGCTCAGCGATGGCTTCCAGGTGCTTGGCGTAATTGTAGTACGTTGTGCGCAGGTGCACTCGGTCCTGGGTCTCGGCTATCTCAATGGCTTTCTGCCACTGGTCTGAAGCCTGGTAGAACTTGTTCAGGAGGTCGTATCGTTGGCATTGCTTGTATAACTGCTCGGCGTCTTCCTGGAAGAGAGACCAGAAAGCTGCGAAGGGAGGGATGCTGCTTTGAATGCAAGCATCATCATCATCTTCATCTTCATCAGTGAATTCCTCGTTCACATGTGCGGGTTTGTCCTCAACTTACAACAGTTCCTGTAGTGACTGTTCCAAGTCCCAAGGCACTGATGCCGTTACCTACTTTGGGTCATGAGACGTCTGCAAGGAACCAACTAAGGTCAGAGAGCACCAAGGACCAGACATGTCAACCCTGAGCCCCAAGATTGCGGAAAAAAAGTGGTCTGGGTGAGAAGTGGCTGGTTACTTTTTACCGTTCTACCATCAAGAGCATTTTGGCACACTGTGTAACGGTGTGGTATGCTGGATGCTCTGCGGTGGATAAGAAGATGCTCCAGAGAGTTATAAACACAGCACAAAAAAAACCATCGGTTGCTCTCTTTCTTCTTTGGAAGAGACTGCGAAGGCCAGACTCCTCTCTAGAACTCCAAAAATCTCCACAAGACCATTCTCATCCTGGACATTCATATTTCAAACTATTACCATCAGCGAGGCGTTATAGCTGTCTTAAAATGAGGACTAATAGATTGAGAAACTGTTTCTTTTCCAGGGCAGTAATTGTCTTGAATCAAACAGTGCATTTGTGATTTATTCCTATTATTATTATTATTTTCATTTTTAAATAGCGGGGTCTCCAACTTTGGCAACTTTAAGCCTGGCGGAGGTTCAACTCCCAGAATTCCCCAGCCAGCAAAGCCACCGAGCTGGCTGCGGAATTCTGGGAGTTGAAGTCCGCCAGGCTTAAAGTTGCCAAGGTTGGAGACCCCGTTGCTCTGTAGTATGATTGCGATGTGGTGTTTGGGGCGCTGTGCTGGAGCAGCTTTCGAATTTCATTGCGTTCATGGGACGCAATGAGAATAAAGGTATTCTCTTCAAATAGTCTCCTTGAAGGACAGAGGAATAAAGGCCCTCTTTCAGGCTCTGCATTCTGACACTTTACAGGGAGTTAATTACAGGAGGAATCTGAGGAGCCGAGTGAGCCTTACACGCCCAAAATAGAATCATTATGACTGTAACAGGATGTTTAAATAAAAGCAAGCGGGGGGAAGCGCTAAGGCATCCAACCTGCAGGTCACTTCAAGAACAAGGGGATGGTCCACATGGCCAGCTCTGGCTTTTCCTTTTCCTTTTCTTTTTTATAACATTTTTTTTCATTTTTACTTTTTACACGTCTTCACGTGAGCAATGTGATTCCAGATTACAACATTTATACATAACCATCCTTACGTTTTCAACTTTCTTACTTAATATCACATCAAGTTATTATCCACTCCACTAATCTTCAAATAAATTTCCACTTCATAGTTCAGTTCATTAATTCAATATCAAAATCATTTCCTCGCGTATATTTCCAATTCTTTATCCCCTTATTTATCTCCATTTTCGGCTTACCACCTGTTTTATTTTACCTTACACATTATTACCTTCATCAACTAACTCAAGACCAACATATAATAAACACTTAAAAAAAAAAACCTACTGAATTAAAGCCCCTGCTATCTCGGAAGCCATTTGCTAGCGGGGTGGGGGTGGCGGAATTGGGGGCTTGGAAACACAGTCGCCCTTGAATGGGACTTTGGATGTCTGACGCTGAAGGAAAGGCTTTGGATCTTGGCTTGTAAAAAGTGTACAGGGATAATAATCAGACTGAGAATAAAAGCCACTGAACGCAGGGTGAAATATCTTTAATATTTATTTATATTTATATTGGCAGGAAAAAAAAACAACCCGGGTGGTCCCTGACTCACAACTGCAATTGAGCCCAACATTTAAGAAGAGATTGGACTGCCGTTTGTCAGAAATGGTGTAGGGTCTCCTGCTTGCATGGGGGGGGGGTTGGACTAGATGACCTCCAAGTTCCCTTCCAATTCCGTTAATGGGTTAATTTCTGCAGCTGAGTGGAAGGGCATTTGGCCCCCATTTTACGACCTATCTTGCCACAGCTGCTAAGTGAATCCCTGCGGTTGTTAAAAGTGAGTAACGCGGTTGTGAAGTGAATCTGGCTTCCCTCATGGACTTGGCTCCTCAGAAGGTCACAAAAGGGAAATCACGTGACCCCACCCCCCACCCCACCCCCGGGACCCTGCAACCATCATAAATATGAGCCACTTGCCAAGTGCCGTGTTTGAATTTCAATCACGTGACCACAGAGAGCATGGCTAGTCTAGGGAAGAGAAGGACCAGGGGAGACAGGATAGCAGTCTTCCAATATTTGAGGGGCTGCCACATGGAGGAGGAAGGGGGTCAAGCTATTTTTCAAGGCACCCAAAGGCCAGACAAGGGATAATGGATGGAAACTGAACAAGGAGAGATTTAACCTGGAAATAAGGAGAAACTTTCTGACAGTGAGAACAATCAACCCATGGAACAACTTGCCCTCAGAGGTTGTGGGAGCGCCATCACTTGAGACCCTCAAGAAGAGATTGGACTGCCATTTGTCAGAAATGGTGTAGGGCAGTGGTCGCCAACTGGTGGGCCGTGAGAAAATTTTGGTGGGCTGCAGAGAAAGACCTCCCCCAAAGCAATTAATCCAGGCTGCGCAGAAACACAAGGCTGCGCCCACCCACATTGCCCATGGGAACCCTTCCTGCCCATTCACTCCTTACCCGACAAACTTGCCTGCTAAATTGCTATTTTTCCGACCATCAGCTGTTCTGCTGTGCTGAGAGATTTAGATTAGCTAGGAATTGGATTTCTTGCTTTCTAGCTAGTCTTTAGATCTTCGGCTCTGCTTTTAAGCACAGCCGAACCTCCCTTAGGACTCAAGTTTCTATTATTCAGTGCAGACTCACGGCCAGCAAATTTTGATAGACTGAGCTAGCTGATGGCAGATAGCTAGATCACTGAATGATTCTGTCAGCAACTCAATCTGCCTGCCTGCTTTGCCTGATTTTGGGTAAAAGTTGCTCTTTTTTTATAAAAAGTTCAATATTTATACAAATATTTATAATATTTACATACAAGCCATGCCCAACCAGTCACATGACCACCAAGCCACACCCACAAATTAGGCCACGTCCACAGAACCAGTTAGTGGTTCCTGGGATTTAAAATTGTGAGTTTGGTGGTCCCTGAGGTCCAAAAGGTTGGCGACCTCTGGTGTAGAGTCTCTCGCTTTGGCAGCGGGTTGGACTAGATGACCTATAAGGTCCCTTCCAACTCTTGATTATTTATTAAATCTCTTAAATTGAGAGCCTGCCACCATAGTAAGTGTGAAAAACCTCCATAAGCCTCTTTTTGTTTTTTCAGTGTCCTCGTAAAACTTCAAATGGTAACGAAGCAACTGGATGTAAAAGCCAACCTTTTTATTTTAGTGGTCAAGTGTCCAAATTTTGATTGAGATGGTCATAAGATGGTCAACAGTCATAAGTTTGAAAAACGGCTATACGTCTCTTTTTTCAGTGCTGCTGCAACTTCAGTCCCTAAATGAAGGGCTGTAAGTTGAGGACTACATGTATGGCAAGCTTGCCTGGAGACACTTTGGATAGTGAAACGGACGGCAGATAAAATCAGTCGACCAATCAAGTAAAGAAACAATGGGAGGAAAGTCTTTCCACTCACCAGCATGCCCAACTGAGCCGCTAGCATGGCCACCCGGGCTTCCTTTTCTGGCTCTTGTTCAGCATCCCGCAACGCCTTGGCTCCCCGCGCATGGCCCATGTTCCCCAGGCAGACTTTGGCAACATCCAGCCTCTGGGTCTTCATGCACATGCGGGCCATGTTCTCCCAGACGGCTTCGCTGCAGAATACAAGAAGAAGAAGAAGAAGGGAGATAGTCCCCGATCAGATCCTGAAGGCCTTCGAGAACATGGAGGTGTGAACTGGCCTTTCTGCAGGAGAAAAGACCTCTTTAGGGACCATAGCTTAAGACTGATGTGCACCTGGCCTTTGGAGCTTCACGCACATGGGGACCATGTTAGCTTCACTACAGAATGCAAGAAGGCACATGGTTCAAGTCAAGCTATGAAGACTTTCAAGAACACGGAGGTGTGAACTGGCTCTTCTACTGGAGGCAAAACCTTGTTTGTTTGGTTTTTTTGACAAGACCTTGTTGATGATCCAAACTCTGTCAAGGACCTTGGAGTACTCATCTCTAATGATCTAAGTGCTAGAGCCCACTGTAACTACATAGCCAAAAAGGCATTAAGAGTTGTTAACCTAATCCTGCATAGCTTTTTCTCAGGTAATATCACACTACTAACTACGGCATACAAAACATTTGCTAGACCAATACTTGAATACAGCTCATCAGTCTGGAACCCGCATTACGTATCTGATATTGACACAGTTGAGAAAGTCCAGAAATATTTCACAAGAAGAGTTCTCCACTCCTCTACTCGTTGCAGAAGACCTTATGCCACCAGACTTGAAATTCTAGACCTAGAAAACCTAGAACTAGGCCGCCTTCGGTCCGATCTAAGTATAGTATATAAAATCATACATTGCAATGTCCTACCTGTCAATGAACACTTCAGCTTTAATCATAACAACACAAGAGCACACAATAGATACAAACTCAAGGTAAACCACACCAAACTTGACTGCAGAAAATACGACTTCAGCAACAGAGTGGTCAATGTCTGGAATACTCTACCTGACTCTGTGGTTTCTTCCCCAAACCCCAAAAACTTTAATTTTAGACGGTCTCCTATTGACCTCACCCCTTTCCTAAGAGGTCTGTAGGGGGCGTGCATAAGTGCACCAACGTGCCTACTGTCCCTGTCCTATTGTTTCTTTTATATATTTTTTATTTTTCTTATATGTATCCATGTATTCATAACTATGTTTTTACTTATACCTATTATCTTGTAAGCAATTGACAAAACTAATAAAATAAAATAAAAATAAATAAAACCTCTTGTCTCTTTAGAAATCTTACCTCAGAGCAGTAGTCTCCTAACGTAGCAACGTGAAGACTTGTGGGCAGCATGACTGGCTGAGGAATTCTGGGAATTGAAGGCCACAAGTCTCAAAGTTGCCAAATTTGAGGAGCCCTGCCTTTGAGGGGTGTCCAGAACCAAGGCAGAAGGTCAAAGACCTAATAGTAAAACTCAACGGATCTAACTGAGCCAGGCTAGCTTGTTACATTGGCTTCAGTTGAGTCTGTCCCGAGTAGGACCAAAGACTGAATCCAACTTCTGAACTTTCTTTTTTTTTTTTAATCTTCAACAGGCTCTCTTTTCATTGCCCAGGCTCAACAAAGGATGGTTGTGTTCACTCAGATATGACTCAGATATTGAGAGAGAGAGAGAGAGAGGGAGGGAGGGGGGAGGGAGGGAGGGAGGAACAGGGGGAGAGAAAAGGAGAGAGAGAGAGAGAGAGGAGAGAGGGAAAGAAAAGGAGAAAGAGAAAAGGAGAGAGAAAAGGAGAGAGAGAAAAGGAGAGAGAGAGAGAGAAAGGAGAGAGAGAGAAAGGAGAGAGAGAAAAGGAGAGACAGACAAAAGGG